GGTTCTTAAAATGTTTGTCAGGAAAGAGTTGTTTCTGCTTTGCTATTTTTAAACTGTAGTACCAGCTCTGAATAGATTTTATTGTGGTTAGACTTTTTCAGAAAGTCAAAATAAACCCAATAAACCAGTCTGGTTAGGTTTCAAAAATAGAATACATGTATAAATCAAAGTGCTGTATTTAATGTCTCTACAGTAGGAATGACTGCTCAAGTAGACAAATTGTAGCCTAGATTTTTAATTTTTTAAATTGTTTTCTCCCCCTGTTGAAGCTCCAAGAGCTGAGTTTTTATTCACTGTGCAGGTGGCACCCATCAGGTCAGCATCTCCACACTGAATTTATAAAACATTCATCTAAAATTATTTTCATGCTGTGACATTCTCAGTACCCAGTGCTATAGCAACTGCCTTGGTGTGTTTGTCCTGTGCTCCTCTTTGAGGCTTCCTAAGTTCTGTGTGTGATGAAAGGAATGTCGCCCAGATTCTCAATCCCTCCGTTGGGAATGTAACTGCAACCCCTCCAACATATTTCCAGCTCTGGGGAAAACCACCGCGCTGGTGGCCTAAGAAAATACACCTTTCCCTCTATTGTCAGACACGATTTCACAGAGGCCGCGTCGAGCCCCCGCGGCTTTGGGATGTTTTCTGTCGGGTTGTTGTGCGCTGCCAAACCAAGGGGCCGCGGGGTGTGGAGCAGCACGGGGGCAGCGCCCGTGGCTGGGCTCGGGGACAGCTGGGCAGGGCAGGGCTCCGGCCACGGCACAGCTCCGGCCACGGCACAGCTCCGGCCACGGCACGGCTCCTTCGGACACCGGGAGAGAGGGAAATCGGGAGTCCTGCCAAGGAGTATCCACAGTTCAGGAAAGGCACTGGGCTGCCCTGCCTGGAGAGGAGTGGGAGGGAAGGGGCCGGGCAGGGCAGTGCCCCTGGGTGTTCCTAGAAGCAAAGGGCAGGGCATCGAAACTGGAGCAGCAGGACAGCTCTGCTGCCCCTGGATAACCGGGCACACACTGGATAGCTGTGATACCGGGAATTACCGGCTGGACGCTGGGACAGGGCTTCTGGGAAGTTGTAAGAATGTTTCACGTAAGATTATCATGACATTATTTTTTTTTTCAGTAAGAGATTATTTGCTGTTTATAGAGCTGCACTCCCAGAATAATTTAATTAGTGCAAGGCTTAATGAAAAGCTGTTTCAATCTTACTCTGAAGTGTTCCCACACAAACTGGTATTGAAAAGCTATATAACTGATGCTTTCATCAAACATTTTTATTGTTAATTTTGTAGAAAGACAGCCAAGAACCATGTAGGGATGAACACCTAATAGATTACAGTATTAGAGATGAAACTAGTTTTGGAAGAACATGCAATAGAGGATAATATTCCTCTATGGAATAGTGTAACTTTTTTAGATAAATATGTTTCTAAAATGAAAAGAGTTAAAGCAGTGAAAAGGAAGAAGAGGAAAAATGAAGATACTAACTTTAACTTAGATATAGAATGAAGTAGTGATCAGGTGAGGCACGTACTGCAGCCAGCCCAACAGCAACCACTTCTGGCTGGATATGGATAAAATCAAAAGTTGAGAATTTTTTCAGGACAAACCAGCAAAAATAATTAATGTGAACAGACTGTGCTGTGGTTTTCATTCCAGCAAAACAAATTTACTTATTCTTAACAGCTTTATATGTCCTGTTGTTATAAAGTAATTTATGTAATTTGAATTCTCAATGCATGAAAAAACCCAAACTATAAATTATATTTCCAACCCTCTTCTTTGAACACTTCAGTGACACAGGCAAATAATAAAGTCTTTCAGCCGAATGATAAAGTATAAATAGTTTATGCACGATCATAACAAACTAGAGATTCCTTATTTGGCTTTTCTTTTAGGTTACAAATGCTTATGTTCAAGGCCATTTTCTTCATGGCCTCTGTACACTGGACTTCTTTTGTATCTAACTTGACTTAAACTAAGCAATGTTCTCTTAATCAAAAAAGAAAATCTCATGGGAGAATAAGAGAATGACTTGTAGCACATATCAACCTGGCATGCAGAGGGACAAAGCTTGGACTGTGGCTCGGGGGGAAGAACCCTGGATAAAGTGGCAAAGTTTCTCTATAGTAATGCTTGGCTTGAGGAGTCAGGGAGTAAGATTTGATACCCCAAATTCCATAATGAACTGTGTATATACATTTCTCCTTTCCTCCAGCCAGCATTCCACTCCTAATTCTTGCTACTCATTCTTCTGAGGCTCACAGCTATGTCATGTAATGAGGATACAATGAAGTTACACCATGCCACTTCAAATATTTGATACTTTTGGAGAATCCCCAGGTAATGACAGTTAAGTGGGCTGGGAATTCAGGAATATTGCATGGAGCAAACTGAACCACCACAAATGAGGAAAGGTTTAACTTTTACGGCTCCTTTTCAGCAGCCAGAATTCAAACTCTGCTCCAAGATGCTCACGGGGGATCATCCCCCTCGTTTTCAGCTGTGAGCAAACCGGGGTCTGGGGAGCTGGGATGGCTCTGCCTGGGTGAGATACCCACTGGAGGAAAGGGAATGAATTCCCAGGCTACAGCCACGAGGCAGATTGCTCAAGATAATGGTTGCTGTCCCTAACTCAGTCTGGCCCAGCCCCCATGGTTCTCATTCCCCTTCAAATCATTCCTCAAGCTGCTTTTTGTACAGGCAGAAAACCCCTCAGAGGGTGCAAATGTCAGATGGGATTGTGTGCCTGGACAAATGGAAGTCCAATACCTGGACATTCACACCCCAGACATCTAAGCACAAGCACAAACCAGGTCAGCCTCAGGAAGAATGGTGAGAATTTTCAGTTTATTTTGGAAAGTTTGTTCCATTTTTGTTTCCCTTCTACATTAGAGCTGCCTTGTTTCAGTCTCTTTGATTGGTTTCCTTGTTTGCTTTTCTTCTTATTTCTTGTAATTATTGTATTTCTTTGCATGTGCCACATTGTTTAACTCTCTGAAATTTGGCTTGCTTTCCTCCAGACCTGTGTTTATTTGTTCCAGATACAATCCTTGATCCTTCTACCCTTTTCAAAGAAGTTTAAAACTTTATGAAAAGTCTTTATCAAAACCACCTCTTCTTGAGGTGGATGTCCCTCCTTCTTTTACCTCTTTCTTTTTAAGCTCCTCATGGCAGGTACTTATATTTTACATTACAATATTTTAAGATCCTTTTGCATGTTTTTCTAAAGTCTGTACTACTTTCTACCACGTTACAGGGATTTGCTTAGTCCAAAACCATGTGAATATTTATTGTACCCACTGCCTCCAGTTTATTTGTTTCTCAGATACATGGCTATGACTCCTGTTAAAGTCAGATAAATAAACAGTGTCTGCATCACAGGACTTCTTCAGTATAAACAAGACACTTAAAAGGAAAGTTACTCTATAGGAATTTGAAAAGGATGCTTCACATGTTTAAATGTTGTCCTTGGTAGGCACTGTCTTGGTCTGGATTTGGTTTTCTGGGTTTTTTTGGTAGGTCTGAGCCCAGGGCAATGGGGAAGAGGAAAACAAGAGAAGCAGCTCTTTTTTTAAGAGCAAGGCTGAAATCTCCATGTGGTCTGTCTTGTGAAAGAGTGCTACAAAAAGCTTAAATATTTATTTTATAAATATCCTCTAAATTGAAGGCTTTATTACACTGGAATAAGTGGTAACTTTTAGAACATATGGGGATAAAACACTGAATCACAGCATCCTAAAGACACGGAAACTTGTGTTTCAGCCTTCCAGAGCTCCTGGCTGTCACCCCCATTTCAATCTCCTATTACTTGGCACCCATATCTCTTCCTGGAGGGCACCAGTATCTAAAGATTCTGTATGTTTGGGAATTTTTTTCTCATTTGGTGCTTAGGAGAGGCAAACCCAACAGTGCTGTTTTTTTCCTTGCCCTTGCCACGCCTCTGTGAGGTTAATGTGACTTTAGCTGGACTCAAGTCTTGGTTTATATCAGAATAAACCTTCTGCTGTAGAGAAATCCCAAATAAGGCTGAGAGAAGTTTGCTGGAGGCTCTTTTTAGAGAAATGCTTATTTAATTACCAATTAATGGAACTGACATGACTGTAAATGCAAACATGCATGCTCCTTAAGAACAGTTCTAGGAGAGATGTTCTCCTTTGCAGTGGCTGTCCTTGGGAGCTGCGTTTTGGGGTGATAAATCCCCCGTTCACCACTTGATGTGCCGTGCTGGACGTTTTCAAAGCTAAAAGTGAGTTCGTGGAGCACTGGGAGTTCCAGCCAGAGCCCTTTGGTATCCCAACTTTTCCATGGAGCCTGTCCCGAGTTACACGGGGATCGCTGCCTGACAGCTGTTCCCTGTCTCCTCCAGGAAAAGAGCTCGCACGCTGGTTTTTTTTTATTATTATTTTTTTTAAATTTCTCCTGCGATCCCTTTCCCAGCAGCGCACACCCCACCCCTCGGATCGCACCGCCCCTTGGGGCGCGCTGCCCGTTCCCCGCAGAGCCGGGCTCTGCCCTGCACAGGTAGGACGAGGTGTGTGCCCTGCAGGACTCGGGGCTGTCCCGGGCCCACACCGCGGCTCAGGCGCTGCCGATGGCCCCGGTTAGTTAATTAATTCATTAATTAATTGTCAAATTCCTGAGGGGCTCAGCCGAGGCAGGGCTAAGGGGGAGGCCGGTCAGGGAGCTGAGGGGGACGCTCTGAGGGGAGCGAGGGGAGGCGGCACGGCTCGGGCCCGCTCCAGCCCCCCGGCAGCGCTCATCCCCCGCGCCAGGTCGGTTCCCGGGGCAGGCTGGAGGCGCGGCGGCGGCGAGATCCCCTCAGAATCCCCCCCATCCCCTCGGGATCCCGTCCCTCCCTCCCTCCGCCGCTCCCAAATGGCGGCGGCGCCGATCGAGCGCTCGGCGCTCCCCGGCGGGCCAGGGCGGAGCGGGCGGGCCGGGCGGCGCAGGTCGGCGCGCCGAGCGCCGAGCGGGCGGGGCGGGGATAAATGTCTGCGGGGCGCGGGGCCGCCATTTTCTGTGAGCGCCGAGCGAGCGGCGCCGGCGCAGGTACGGCGAGGCCGGGCACGGCCGGGGGGCGCCGGGCCGGGTGCGGGCGGGGAGCGCCGCGGCCGGCACAGGTACGGCCTGGCGGGGCCGGGCACGGGCGGGGAGCGCCGGGCCGGGTATGGGTACGGGCGGGGAGCGCCGGGGCCGAGCGGGGCACAGCGCCCGCGCTCCCTCTGTCTGCGGGTCCCCTTCCCGCGGGGCCGCCGCTCCGCGCTCGGCCCCGGGCGCGCTGAGCCGGCCGTGAGGGCGGGCAGGCGCTCGGCCCCGACGGGCGCCTGGGGAGGAGCGGCAGGAGCGGGCGGGGCGCGGAGCCCGTGGCGGCAGGGTCGGCCGGAGCGAGGGGCCGGGCCGGGGGAGCGGGGCTGCGGCCGGGCCGCCGCCTGTCAGCGAAGCGGAGGGGCTCGGGCGGAGCATCCGCAGCCCTGGAGCTGTGCCCGGACTAGGGCATGAGCGAGGGGAAGCTGGAACACCTGGAGCCGTGCCTTGTCCAGGGGAGATGAGCATCCCGCAGACCTGGAGCCCTGTCCTGTCCGTGAGAGGGAGAGCAGTGGGCATCCCTCGCACCGGGATCTGTGCCCTGTCCAGGGGGAAGAGCAGGACGATGAGTATCCCGCCCCCCTGGAGCCGTACCCTGTGCAGAGGGGATGGGCAGGGGGCACCTGGAACAGCCGGAGCCGTGCCCTGTCAGGGGGATGGGCAGGGGGATGAGCATCCCGCCCGCCGGAGCCGTGCCCTGCCCACAGCGGTGGCTGTGCTGGCCCGGCCTGCTCGTGTCCAGCTGCAGCTTTGTCCCTCCTGCGCTTCCAGGGGGCTCCCTGAGCCTCCTGTCACTGCGATCCACAGGCTGCTGGACCGGGAGTGGAAAATGCCTTTAGGTTGTATGAGCACAACCAAAGCTTTCTGCTCAGGCATTCTTTGGTTGGAGCTGCTTGCTTGATTTTGGTTTATTTTGGGGATTTAAATTCAGTTAAAAAAAGCCATTCGCAAACTGGAGTGAGATCCTTTCGTGTCCTAATTTCCTCTAAACTGTTCCAGCCGTACCATGTAGCAGTGGTACTCCTGCAGAGCCGGGGCTGTCTCTGGCCTCTCTTTATCTGCAATCTCACTGCACACATAGATAACCTGCCTGTGTGGTTCTTTTTCTTTCTTAGCATTTAAGTGACACCCATAAATACAGGGACCTTACCTGGCACAGCGAGACCCCAAAACCAGTTGCAGTGGAATTGCTGGAGCACAGTGTGTGTTCCAGGTGCAGCTGTAGGTTGTCATAGGTGGGCAAAACAAGGATCTGTAGTGGAGCAAAACTCAGATTCCTCCAAAACCAAACCAGCTTAAAATATATGAAAACATTTTGTACAAAAGACTTATGTCTTCTAATGCTTCTGGAAAAGTCAGCTCCAGATACTGCCTAAAGGATCACTGCATAGTGTCAAACCAGGGTGTAATTTGAAGGGTATTCTTGTTCTTTAGGATATGTCTGCAGTGTTGGTGCAGAAGGAAAGACTGACATGGGGAATGCGAGAGTTAATTTGAGGCAGTTCAGTTAAATCTCTTCTGTGGTCACCCATTCAGAATGGAAGTGGCTTTAATTTGGTTTGTCTTAATGAACATTTTCTGTAGGCAATCCCTAGGGCTACAATTTATCTTGAAAGAGGTATGGATCTGGATGTGTGTTCATGACATGGATAGTTAATGTAGTAAGCAATTTAATGTCAGATTATTAAATCAGAAGTGAACCAGCATAGTTGAGTTGGAGCAGCAGTGCTTTCAGAAACCTGAAATGTGTTTTTCATATGGTTTGTTGCCATACTTAATATCTTCAGGACTGGACAACTTATTGTGCAACACTGCTGACTAACCTGCTTTGAAAGAAAATCTGGAAGTAGCAGAGAAAATAGCTATTTTTTTTTTAAAGAAGATCTAAAACTTATTTTATTTTCAGTTGAATCCCTTTCCCATTTTTTATTCTTACCACCACCGCATTGTTCAAATTACATATGAAGTCATTGCTGTCTCAGGGCCTGAACTTACTATGACTTATTAAAATAGCTCATATTTTATAAACCACAGACATGACCCACAGAAATCATTGGTCAGCACTTCTTGGTAAGCTAAATCAGCACTAATTTCTTCTGGAACATATACTCCCCTCCTCCCCCCACATTATTTATGTGGCTCCTTCTTTACTGTTGGGAAACTGGGAGCTGAGGAAAAAAGCCCAAGTTTTTCTTATTTGAAAACACGTTCAGTTCAGAGCTGTTGGTTGTAAAGCTTCTGTAGGAGATGGGAACCAAGAGCTGCTGGGTTGGATTACTGTCTTTAAATTGCTTCCCCGTCTTTGCTGTTGCCTCACTTAAACACCCCCCGGATTTTTCTCCTCCTCCCTCAGTTCTGAAGTTGCTTGTCCTGCCTCCTTGGCCAGCGTGGCCAGAGGGAGGGGTTTCCTTGGCCTTGACCTGGGCTCCTCAGGTGGGAATGTGCTCCTGCAGCACACCAAGGGTTTGTGCCGTGGTGCCCTGGCTGATGGAGAGCAAAGAATTCTTCTGTCCTTTGGCTTCCTTAGCCTGTGGGAATTTCCTGTTCTTCCTACCTGTGCCTCACTGTTCACTTGGAATGAGGTGATAACATCCCAGAGCTGCTGGAGGAGAGGCAGGACCGGGGTCACCCAACACCAGCTGAACGTGGCTTGTGCAGGTGGATTTCCAAAACTTCTGTACAAATTCAGCTTGAAACAAGTGATGGCAAAGGATTATTGTTTTGTATGAAACAAGTTTCTGGACCATCCACGTTATACAAGTGTGTAACGTGTGTGAAGAGAAACAGAAGTCAGCCTTCTATTTCTCAAAAAACCATCAAATTGCATAAGTCAAAATTACCTTTACTTGGGGAAGTAACAAAAAAATCTTCAAAACAAGATTGAAGCTTGTGGTTTGCCAAATTTCCAGACTGGTAATTTAAGCATGAAAGTTTCACATAAGTTTAATTTGTGAACAGATAGGCTTACATCTACATTGTACCAATTTTGATTGATTTTGTGTAATTACTTATGCAAAACCCTTCAGTATGTTCTGATCTGAAATACACCCACTGTGTGTTGAATGAGGTGGTGGAAACACTTGGTCAGCTCTAGAAATTAATGGAAAGAGGAGTTGATACAATCCTGGGAAATCAGGTAACTATGACAAACTAACAAGGTGTTTTAGCAGTGAGCTCATGGCTTTTGAGACAGCATGAAGCAGATACAGCTTATTCTGTATGGGTAGTCCATGCTTAGCGATGTTCTTATTTTTTCTGGAAAGAAACTCTGTTTTGGCCCCAGTTCTGTGAATAATTCTCAGAGCTGTGCTGGCTCTCGCTGCATGCGCTGGGTTTTTGTAAACAAAGATTTTGCTTTGAAAAGCAGCTGGTGCACGTTTATTCCCTGAGTGACTTGAATATTGTGTTTGTACTATAAATGTCATCTGTTTTACACAAAGTTGATTTTATTGCAGCAGTGTGTACTGACCTTTTACAGTTTAATAGAATATGGTCATCTTGTGTACCAAAATGGTGCAGTGCAACAGCACATGAGGGTAAACAAAGCACCGTTCTTGAGGCACTGGGAAAGGAGAAAAGCGTTTTCTTGGAAGACTTCAGAGCTAAGAATGAGAACTGACAATTAATAAGTAGAATGCATACATAAGCAAGTATATTTTTTTCAGGGTTTTAAGCGACACAGTCCATGTGATTGAATTGTGTATTTTGCAGTGGGTTTTGCTTGCTTATGGGGGATGCCAACCTTTCTAGAGGTAAAATTTTATCGTGCAGAAGCTGGATTTGTGCAGAGCCAGCGCGGTGGGTTTGTTTGCAGGTGCGGCTGTGCCTGCCCTGCCTCTCCGTGCCTGCCCTGCCTCTCCGTGCCTGCCCTGCCTCTCCGTGCCTGCCCTGCCCCTCTCCGTGCCTGCCCTGCCCCTCTCCGTGCCTGCCCTGCCCCTCTCCGTGCCTGCCCTGCCTCTCTGTGCCTGCCCTGCCCCTCTCCGTGCCTGCCCTGCCCCTCTCCGTGCCTGCCCTGCCTCTCCGTGCCTGCCCTGCCTCTCCTGCCCTGCCCTGCCTCTCCGTGCCTGCCCTGCCTCTCCGTGCCTGCCCTGCCTCTCCGTGCCTGCCCTGCCTCTCTGTGCCTGCCCTGCCCTGCCCCTCTCCGTGCCTGCCCTGCCCCTCTCCGTGCCTGCCCTGCCCCTCTCCGTGCCTGCCCTGCCCCTCTCCGTGCCTGCCCTGCCCCTCTCCGTGCCTGCCCTGCCTCTCTGCTGTGCACACTCTAAATGTGTCCTGAGTGCAGAAGGGAACAGAGCACAGTTAAATCACAGCTCAGTGCCTCTGACTTCAGGCAGAGCAGTTCTGGAGTTGCCTCGCAGCAGTGTGTGCCTGTGTGTGTCAGTGTGTGCTCTCTGCTGTCTGGGGGTGTGCAGGCGGGCCCTGGCTCTGCCCCTCCCTGCTGGAGCCCCTTTCCCGCTGTGGGTGCTCAGGTTGGGTGCCCGGTGCCGTGCTGTGGCTCTGCCGATGCCGCGGTGATTGCGGGCCTGTTCTCCCTCTCTCTTCCATTGTTCCCTTCACGTTCAGCGTTCGCTGCATATACACTGCATACCTGCTTTTGGTCTGACCCCCCAGTGCTTCAGTTGTGACAAACAGCTGCCAAGAGGGCGGTCATTCCTGGGGCATTCCGATGGAAACACGTAGGATCGGGGCAGAGCAGTGCAGTGCAGCCCTCGGTGTATTTTTAGTTCCCAGGCAGAGGGAGGTTGCCTCAGTAACTCCAGCTGGGTGTGGCGTGGGGTTAACCAGATTAATCAAAGCTGGCTCAGGGCTTCAGCCTTTAAAAAATGGCTCAGAGCCCCCATTAGAGTTTTCTGTTACATACATTTTTTTTCCCTACAGAACAAGCTGGAGTTTTGAAAGCGGGGGTTTTAGGAGCCTCGAGCTGAGGGATCAGCAGGAGGGAGATGCAGGGTAGTGCACAGCTAGAAGAAAGATGTCTAATGCCTTCAGATAATGGGAAAGCATTTAAGGTGTGAGTTCCTTCCAGCCCAGGATATTCTATGATTGTATAGATTGAGAAACTTTTAATGTGACTAACGTTCCCTTTTCTGTAATGTCTTTTATTTTGCCAGTCATTGATTCCAGTGTATGTCCCTGTCAGCTCTGTCAGTAACTGGTGCCAGTTTTTGGATATTCTGCTTTCTTGTTCTATTCTCAATCATTTCAGAGTGTTTGCTCAAAGTCTAGTCATACTTTCAGTATTTTCCAGCAGTCTTTTCAGTTTATTAGCACACTACAAAAGGCACTGCTCTCTCTTTATTCACTTGCTTGTGTAGAATAAACTATGTGTGGGATTTTACATAAGAGTTTCTTGGTGAAACCGAAGGAGCATAATGAGACAGGTGAAGGTGCAGGTACTCCCTTTGGTTTGCACGGAATTTTTACACAAATGTACGAATACAGAGGGACAGTCTTGCAAAGTAATACAGCAAATGTAGGGAGGACCATTAGATTGGAAGCTTCAGTGGTGGAAATGTTGCTCAGAAGAAAAAACACTAGTTAATCATATTTTAATTTAAAAAAAAATCCTAATTTATTGTTCCCCCAGAAATGCTAGTTACATTATTTCCAAGAGATTTTCATAGAAAGTACCATAGTTAAAAAGTTTCTCGTAGAAGAAAAAGATGGATTTTTATTCCACTTAATGTGAAGCTGAGAGAACCTGCAATCACCTCTCAAGCTTTCAGTTCAAAAGGTGTATTTTGATACATAGCAATTTGGTGGTTTTTAAGCTTTGGTATAGAAAGTGTGCTAAGTTTCTATGAAAGTTGATCATATTTGGTACATAGGATATAACCCCAGCTTCACATTCTAAAAAAACCTTGGTTTTTTTGATTCCTGAAGTTCAGAATTTATCTAGCAGTTGTTAATTCCAAGGTTACTGTTGGGTTAATATTTTCTTTATTTCAGTAATTTCTGATAGAATTTGAATTCCTTCAGATGTAATCTACTGCGTAACCCCATTAAAATATTTTTAGTTTATTAATTTATTTATTAGGAAAATATTCTTGCGCATTTCTGTTGTAATTTAATGTATTTGGGGTTTTTTTTGTAAAACCTGTATTGTAAAACTCATGCATTAAATATGGCAAAAGCATCTCAACTCTCCTACTTTTGAATTTGCATGAGACCTGTCTATAGTTCTTCATAGAGACAAACAGTACAGGGGCCATTCTGTGCAAATAGAAACATCTATTGATTATTCCAGCACTTTCGGGTCTGAAGGGTAGACCTCTTAGATGAGGAGAAGAGTGTCAGAGCACCTGTGCAAGCAGAGTGATGCCCTGCTGTTTCCCAGCTTTGCCCTGCCTGTCTCGGTGTGCAGAGGCTTTGGGAAGCTGTGTCAGTCACTGCCCGGGCTGAGCGGGCACAGAGCTGGTGGTGGGCAGCGTCCTGCTGTCCTTGGGCCTGATGGCACAATCTGGCTCCGTGGGAGTCAGGCTGCGGGGCAGGGATCTCTGGGAACCAGCAGTGCTGCTGCTGTGTCCCTGCTCGGGGTGTTCCTGCTGGGATAGCTGCTGTGGGTATTGGGAAGGTGCGAAGAGCCCCTGCGGAGCTGAGCTGTGCTCGCTCAGGGGAGTTGGGGTTTGGGCCATCTCTGGAGGATGTTTGGACTCCAGGCAGTAGCTCCTAGTGTGTTGCAGCCAGAAGAGGCAGTAGAGTGTGCAGGGCTTCAGTTCCACGCTGACGTTTGACAAAACTGAAGCCTGTCCCCGTGCCATCAGCCCCGTGTGCTGGGTGCTGCAGAGCAGGTGTGCACTGGGCAGGCAGTGACTGCTGCACCAGTGCCCACGGCAGGGATACCCCGATGGATTTGGGCACAGAGACAGGGCACCGCTCACTCTGAGCTTTCTCAAACCTTTGCAGTGACTGTGACTTGTTCACTGGCAATCAAGAGGTTACAAAAAGAGAGCCAGCTGATGTTGCAATCTAAGCACTGGCCCTGCAGTGGAAAGACTTTGGCATGTTCACTAGTGCTATTTTTACCTATTCCAGTAAGATCTGCCCTTGTGATGTTGAATTACAGGACAGTACCTGCAATAATTTTGTTTTACAGAACTGCTGTATGTTCTGAAGAAAATTTTCAATAAAATTGTTGGGCAGATTGAGCCTATAATTGTCTTACATTGAACATATTTTTTCTTTCATCACCATAAATAATACTGCCACTGTGACTGCAAGAGATTCTTTCACTTTTGTTTGCATATTTTATGTCTGGCAGAGGAATTTTTTTTTAATTTTGTGTTCCTTTGTATATTGATTGTTTTGTCTTTCTCAGTTTCTCATGTGGAGACTCTAAATAGACAATGTGGTTTTTAAAGGTGGGGATTAACAGTGTAGCCCAGGAATAAGTGTAGTAGGAGTTTTTTGTTACAACTTCTAAAAGGCCTGGCTGATTTTGATAAATTTCTAAGTTGATGGTTCCTTCACCCAATAGGAAATCAATGTGTTTTTTTCTGGGAATAGGCTTTCAGCACTGCCAGTGACAAAGTGGTGTATTTACCAAACTATCTGTAGTGAAAACTGGAGGAAGCAGCAGGAGTGCCCTAACAGTGTAACAGTGGGTTCAGCTGTAGAGGGATCACATACAGATGTTAGATGTATTAAATACAGTGTTGTTAGGTGTGTTTTCTAAAACCATCGGCATCTCGATCAAAAGTGATTGGCAGCCCTGAAGCACAAACCCCAGGCTTTTGTTCTGCCTGGGGTGTTATTTGTTATTCAGGTGTGTATTTGTAGCAGAATTTTTCAGAAGCCATGGTTTGAGCCCGGAGTGGGATCAGCGATAACCTGTGCGAGTTCAGCATTCCCCTCCCAGGACACCTGCTTCCCTTGCTCCTCCTGCTGCTCCACAGTGCATCTCAGGTGGAAATCCTGCAAGTAGGCAAACTTCCTCCAGACCAGAGTCATTTCTGCTCCCTTGGCTTTGCTATTGTCTTTGCTGAACAATTGTCCATCTCAGGTTTAATTGAATCTCACATCTGCTGTAACAGCTGGTGTTTTTGACAACTCTTTCACTTAAACCCTCCTTGTTGCCAGTTCTGTTAACAGGTGTCCTTACTGATTGTTTTTGTCATGTGTCTCATCTGTCAAGAAAAACCTGTGATTTTTCCTCCCTCGTGACTATTGCTTTGGTTGCAGGTAAAAACACTGTACCTGCTGCTTCTTTAGCCCATCACACTTGTTTTGTGCTGTGCCTTCTCTTCCTGATTTGTGTATGAGATTCTTTTTTCTTCTGGCTGATTTTACAATTAAAAATGCCTTGACTTCTCATTCTGTAAACTCTGTACCCTTCCCCATTAGGTTTTTATCCTCTCTTTCATGCAGCATTATCTGTCATACTGACTGGATTCATTTGCTTCTTTTGTATTCAGTTACAACTAAAGATCTCAGCTTTTCCTCTGGTGTGCAAAAGACAGAATTCCTTCCTCCCTTCTCTGCAGTCTCACTGGTTTTCCATGGTGGAAATCATATTCACAATATTTTGTGTGTCACATTCCAAAATGTTGGAGAGAGGTGCAGAGGTGGTAAGCAGGACAAATGTACAGTTCAGACTGCAGGTAGTTTTTAATTTTTAGATGGCCAAGTGGCTCAAGGTGAAGGTCCCAAAGCATTTTTCTGCTTTCTTGTTAGTCTTAGAGAGTTTACTGTCTTGGGTAAAATCAGTGCAGCTTGTTTTTATTCTTTTTAATTTTTTCCCATCTGCTCTATCCAGAAGGGAGGGTTCTTCTAACCAAAAGTGAGCTACAGTATAAGATCTGTTGATTTTTTTGTTACTTGTGCTTTCTTTGATTCCATCCAAAGGCAGATGTGAGAAAGCTGGGACTGCTCTCACAGTGGTGCTTATGTGCACCAGAGAGCCTTCAGAGGCTCAGCTGCTCACTGCTGTTTGTTTGCTTTGTATCCAAGAGGTGTCCCCGTTTGTGAGTCAGCAAGGTGTTTCTGTGGGAATGAGGAATTGATGGGTGAGAAGACAGTTTTCAGCTTAATTTTTACTTTGGTTAGTTTTGAGCTGTAAATGATCTTTACAGTGTTCTTCAATGAGAATGACATTCTGTTGAACTGGGTGGCCTTTGATTGTCCTGCAGTCTGGCCTTGGACATTGTGTCTCCTTGCAGTGAAATGTGGTGTAAAACACTGAAAGGTTGGAAGGCCCTGAGAACTCTGACATAAGAAGGATGATAATTTAACTGTCATTGATGTAATTCACAAAGTAGTTTTTTTGTTATTAATTTGATCTGTAGTGCATGTGTATAAATTTGTCTGTGAAAATAGTAAATATGTTCTGTTTTTGTGTTACCTTCCACAGATGATGTGCTTCGTCCTTTTGTTATAGGACTTCATTCACTTAAAGGAAAACTAAAGGTATAAATAACTTTCTCTTGTTATCTTTCCCTTCCTCCTTACCTTGCCCCATTATTTATTCTGAGGTGCCTGGACCTTTCTTGGGGGCAGGGAAACTTAGCCAAGCTCTGTGCATGTATTCCTGCACTGCAGCTAAAATTTCCTTTTTGTTTGTTTTTTTTTTTTTGAAAAATACCACAAAATTGATATGGTACCTACAGTTGTTTCAGTGTTTGCTTTATCAGAAGTGTATATTTAACTTCAGCTCTTACTTTAGTCAGTCTCCATGGATATTTACTTTGCAGGGGAAAAGCCCTTAGTTTAGAACTTTAGATCTTGATATTTGCCTGTGTTCTCCAAACAGCATTTGCCTTTCCACACAACTGCAGATCTATTGGGAATAATCCAGACCTAATGTAAATCATGTCTGTGACATTATCTTAGAACTCTTATCTACGAAACTAAAAGTCTGTTATGGCACTTTGTTAAATAAATAAAAGCCCACCCAAACCAGAATTGTAATTTCTTGGATGTATTTAGTAAGATAATGTAAGATGGAGTTAAAATGGAGCATAGTAATTTAGTAAATATTTGACATAGTCTAAGTAAGTTTACTTGTATATTGTCTTTAATTTTTAGGTACATCCAGTTTTTATTTGCCATTTTATGCAGGTTTCTTTGCAAAATCAGGTGTATACAAACCAATAAAATAAAGTTATTAGAGCTGTCCAGGCAGTTTGTAGCTAAAATACTCAAGTTAGTATCACGTTAAATTTAGTTCCTATTGCAGAAAGATATATTCAGCTATTCCTTGGTGCATTTTATTTTAAAATATAAGGGAATAATCTGTTTTATCTTCTCAGGAAGATATCTCAGGGCCTTTTCAAACTTTTCTTGATGTTCTTACCCCTCTACTGCCTTCTCCTCTCATCCCTACATTGTTTCCATGCCCAGGCTCTTGGAATCCCAGTGTTGACTTCCATGTGGCACTGCTGGTTCTGGCCCGTAGCCCATATTTAATAAACTAAATTCATCAGCTTAAAGCTGCCCTGAACCAGGTGCATCACTGCATCCTCTGCTGCCTGTCCAGGTCACTTAGCACTGGCTGTGTTTTGCAGTGGTATTTAACATGCAGGGAACTGTTGAGTTCTGCCCTGGCCGGAGCTCCCCCTTCAATGATTCCCAGGAGGAGCTGAGGTTGTGGAAGGACTGGTGTGTTCTCAGGGCTGGTGTCCTCAGTGTTGCCTCATTTACTACACAGGGCCAGGAATTCTTTGTACTGGGGTTCTCAGTCCCTTGTTCAGTCCTTGAGAACTCGTGTGGGAAGGGCATTTGGACTGCTGACCTTTGAGTAACTTTTTCGTCTTTGCTGTAAAGTGGACGAGTTCCAGGCGACTGCAAACACAGTTTGGGGCTTTCAGCCTTGAAACAATTGGAGCATGAGCAAGGGCGGAATGCAAATGGCATGGGGCTGAGAATGTATGTGCAGGTGATGGAGAGACTTGGGGCCAGAAATGCTTGTCCAAAATGTCTTGTCTGTGTAAAGACAGAACACTCAGAGCCCCACTTCTGCAGTGCTTTAAAGGGCTGTCTTTGTAAATCTGTCTTTGGAGGATTCCCCTGGGAAGAATTTAACATGGTGAAGAAACAAGAAGTCTAAGAGTGTGTCATATAATGTGATTCTGATAGATCAGATCTAAGAAAGCAGTACTCGGGATGCTTTTTGTTTCTAGCAGTGTGTTTGAGTTTATGAAATTAATAAAGGAGGATGTTTTAAGTATCACTTCAGTGTTAATAGTCTTCATGTTAAGGGCACATTAGGTAAAAAATTACAAAATATTATATAAAGAAAAAGCAGAGGTTTTACTCTTTGACATAGAGTTCTGGTGCTTTGTTAGCAAAACTTCTACAAAATGCATGTGCAACACTGGTGTACTTTCCTCGCTTGCTTTTTCCTTTTAAAGGTGTTTCTGTGGCAGTTTCATACACTTCTTTCTGAATATACATGATCTCAGCAACTGTACTTAACTACAGTTTAAAAGCAGTCTAATTGCTTGGAAAAAGCTGTTGCATTTTTCTTTTTACCTGGGATTGCTTTTTTGCCTTGGGAAAGGGAAGGATTTGGTTTCTCTGTCTCTTTTAGATAAGGGTGTTCAGAGCTCCTGTCTCTCTAAAGTAGGAATTCAGGGTTTGTAGGGAAACTCAGAGCTCCACATTTGACCTTCATACAAATGTCACGTGGTAAGAAATGGGTGACTGAAATGGGAATAATTTGTGTGGAAAGGATAAACCAAACAGATCTTCCTGAAAAGTGCTTGGAAAAAGTAGCCTGGGGCTGTTACAGTCAACAGAGAGAGCAGGCACGGGGTGGCCAAAGGTGCAGATAGTTTGGTGGCAGAGCCCAAAGTACAGCCTGCTAGAGCCAGGTTTGCTTTGGGCTCTGCTTGTTAGCCAGAGTTCTACTCTGAAAGTTATTTTACATACAAAAAGACATTAATCTTGCGAATCAATCAGTCTGAAAGCATGTCAGGCTGAGAGTTGTATTGCTTGAGCCCAATTGTTGGAAAACCAGTGTTATTTTTTCCTTAAATACTTCAAAGTTACATTGGCAACATGTAAGTAGTGACCAAGAGGGGAATGGTTGTGAGAAATAAAGAGAGAGATGAGAAAAATACTTCCAAGATCAGAATAGCTGAGGCTGAAATGATATGTGTTTCTGTACTGGTTGGTTTTGTCTTGTTTTATGATTTTTTTCCTGAACACTAACATTTCCTCCTGTTAATTTTTAATTTCTGTCAGTTGTGCTAGGGAGGAGTTTGCTTTTCTGTCATCCGTCTCCTAAAATGAAGGACACACAAGGGAAAAACACCAACCTTGGAGATGTAGGACAGTTGGGCTTGGGTTGTTAAACTGATCCCAACTCATGCCCTGCGTTTATGTTAACATGGATCACAGCTTTATTTATTAATATAGGAATGTGTCCATGTTTATCTTCTACTGCTCTGAAAAGCTACTTAAAAAAAAAAACCTGCTATATATCATGATAGATGTTTGGTGTGGGTTTCTCTTTCTCCCCAGACAATGAGTCACCCAAGCAATATTAAATCAGTCAATAATTACTATATGGGAGGAGAAAAGGCCACAGTTAAATGTATTATCTTTTTGTGTGTGATCTTTTTGTGTCAGAGAAGAAAACACAGCTTATAAGCAACTTTCCAAGCTTATATTTACTGACAGAAATGTTAAGTTTGAAATGGATTCTGGGCTGTGCTCTGTGACGTTTTGCCTTTGTAGATGTATTTCATTAAACATGAGTGTGACTTAATTGTGTGGATAAAAATGGCAGCACGTGTGTATGTTGGAACTGTTCTTACATTTTTGGAAAAGCTTTTGGTGTTCGTTTCAGAATAAAAAGAAAGGGCAAGGTACCTAAGAGAGGAGTTTAACTCTGTAGCCTGTGAACTTTCAAGTTTTGGCATTTCTTAGGGAGGAAGACTGAAATTTTTAACAGTTCAGACTAAACACTTTTTCCTAGTCATGGAATATGTTAAAGTAACTGAAAGTACCTTTTGAATTTGATGAGTGACGAGCATGTTGAGTGGGTTGAGGGACTGATCTCCAGGAATTTGTTCCCGTCAGATGTGCACATTCTGTAGCCCTTCTGTGCATTTGGTTTTAATGCTTATTCAAAGAATTAATTATCAGGATCTGTAATTACACAAAAAGCACTAATGAAAAGTGCTATCTTGGTCACAGTGTGCAGTATTCCTGTAGGACTTGGAGGAATATATGACATTACTTTTCTCCTCAGACTGAACATTTAATATGAAACTACTCAGTATCAGCTTCCTGCAGTCCTGGATCTACAAGAGGACTCACACGCTGCAATATCTTCAAATACTCTTTGAATGCTGCAGTTGCAGTTTACAGTTGTGGACAGGCTGGTTGAAGTCATTGTTGTGACAGTGAAGAGCTGCAGGAAGAAAAGTTTTAAAGGAAAATTTTTAGAGAGATGCATGAAAACATTCGGCTGGCATTGGATTATTTGAGCATGGCATAAACATTAATATCTGGTAATGATTATGTTTCAGAAACATGCTGGCAACTCGTTTAAAGGAAGGAAACATAGTTTTTCTGGAATAGACAAACTAAGAATAATATATTTATAAAGGCATCATTGTAAAATCTTTCCTCCTTTAAATGAAATTATCTCTAAAACATATCACACAACTTTTCACTGGTGTGGATCTTGGGGGATTTGGAGTAAATGAATGTAGTTTCAGTAAAAATGCCTTTAATCAATGACTGCTTGGAGCAAAATACCCAAAGTAAATGGACAAGTTGATGCCAGGGCACAGGTTCCAGGGCTCTGAAAGGTGAACTGTGCTCTGCCCAGGAATTCTCTGTTAAGGTGGACTAAAACCTGTGTCCTGTGGCATAGACTGTTGTGTTCTGCAGTTGTGCTTGATTCAGTGTTCAGTGAACCAACTAGAAACGGTGTGTGAATGTGCAATATTCTGTTGTGTCATTAAATGTTATTTTTTAGTCAGTTCAAAGCTGGCCGTGCTAATTCTCTTACCTCACACCCATGTATACTGTTGTTCCAAATGGATGGGTTTGTCTGTATCCATATAACCTTTAAGCTTGCTTTCTACCAGAGGGCAGGGAAAGGTGTAATTCATGTGTGAATTACTCCCTGAGAAGCAGCTTTTGTGCCTGTCTCTGTTGTACCGTGCTAATAATTTGGAAGAAGGTTGGAGCAGTGCCCATGAGCGCTGTGGGCACTGCAGTGTGCTCAGCCAGGCTGTTCCTGCAGAGCGCAGAGGTGCTGGAGAGGCCCTGGCAGCTCCTGTCCCCCCTGGGAGGTTGTCCCTGAGCTGCTGTGGAGCTCAGCAGCAGGACAGTTGGGCAGTGCTGTTTCCTATCCAGCTCCACTTTCCAAGTGCACGCCCCTTCCTGTGGGTGCCGGGGGCAGGTTTAGCACCTCTCCATCAGAAATTCCCTGTCTATCCCATATGAATATCTGGCAAACTTCCCTTTCTTTTCCCTTACTCTCCACCACGTGCAGGTTTGTGTGTGCTCCAGGTCTGAGCTGGTTCTCCTCTCCTCCCCTCAGCAGGCTGTGTCTGTGTGCAGTGGGCCTTCTGTGTTTGGGAGAGGGAAGTACCTTCTTGGGTACCAAACTTACCTTTGGTCAAAGCACAAGTTTGAACTTCTTGTTATTTCCTGTTTTCTCAGGAATTTTTCAGGAAATGTTGGCAGCATGTCAAAATATTAAATAGGCTGTAACATTGGGGCCTTGTCAACTTGCATCAGCAGTGACAACAAGGAGGATTTGATGGCTGCCCTGCCAGTCCTTATCTCAACTTCCCAGTTTTGTCTCTTCTTATTTTGTCGCATGTGTTACCTGGAAAGGTGAAAAAAAGAAGTTTTCACAGGGAGTAAGTCAAGAAAAGGAAAGAGAATGAGCTGTCTGGGTTTTACCTTTCCCCTCTTACCTAGCAGTTTCTCTCCACTCAGGTTTTATTGCTACCATCTAACTGGGTACTCCTTTAGCTGCCATGTGCATTGGATAGGTGTTGTAACTGTACGTAACTTTTTTCACCTTTCTGATGCCTAACAGTATGAGCTGTGAGGTGTTGTCCTTGCAGTTGCTTATGTGTGGTGAACTTGGTTGTGTTCCTCAATTTTATCTCCCCTCCTTTTTTCAGAATGTCTCTCTATCTTGCTATTCAATGTTCCCTCTTTACATCACATGTAAGACTGTTGTCATTTATGTGCCACAGATTTAAAAATTAAAAAAAATTCCAAGTGCCTGCATTCTGTTAGATTTCAGTTGGATGTTGACTTTTAAATATTACTTCCATTTGAAGGTTTTGAGCCTTTTCCCAACTGACCCTGCTCAGTGGATGGTGTTGGTGCAGGAGTGACAAGGATGGCTGGAGGAAGGCAAGGACGTGTTTGCTGTCATTGTACACCTTGTCAGTGAAAGAGATGTTCAGGAACTGGCCTAAAGATCCCCGTGAGGGTGGCAGGCCCAGAGCTCTGCTGCTGCAGAGTTTGCACCTGATGGGGGCTTTGTAGAAACCAACCCCTTCTCTGGAAGTTTGTGTTCTGTTTCCTTTCCAGCTGCTGGGCAGACCCAGGGATGGGTCTGGAGCAGTGTTAAGGACTGCAAATCCTGCTAAGGCTTTTCAGAGTTGTACTGTGAGGGAAGACGCTCTGAAATTCAGTTTATCCTTCTGGATAAAGTAGACTAAACTTGACACTGGTGGAGATCTTTTTTATCCAAGAATTCCAGTGTTTTACCTCTTCGGTTGTAACAAACACCACTGTCTTTTCTCTGACATAAGCATGAGTTGGAGGGTTCAAATAATTTGCAATAAAAGAGGTGCAGGACCACACATGGAAAGAGGCTGGAATAGCTCCTGGTGGGTATTCAGTGCGGAGTGTTGGGTGTTAGGTGCTGTATTAGGTTGTTAGTGTTTGCAGGAAACACTGTAGCTCTTTCAGCTAAGTCTTTCCTGCACCACCAGGGGATGGAATTAGGATTGCTTGGAAGACCTTCATTTTGGCATGTCCTGACTGCAGTTCTACAACTTTCTGATCACCTTTCCTAGTGGTGATCAGGAATGTAGATGGTGTGTGCAACCACTGGAGATGACTGCTACCATGGGAAAAGGTGTGTGGATACACTGCATAGTTCCAGCATTGCTTTCCCAGGTGTTTGTAGAGGGGTGCAGTTCTGTGGAGGAAATAAATTACTGTGCCCTTTTCCGTGATTATTTTTTAATTGTACTTTGCAATGTTTGGTAATAAATCTGACTACTTGGAAGTTTAGAAAGGAGGGCAGACTTTGTTTTTGCTTAGTTTTGAATAAGATACCTTTGTAGTATTATTTGGAGTTTGAGCTGCATTGCAGTTGTGATGGCTGAGGAAAAAAATGTACCATGACACCTTTATCTTTGTGTGTGCTAAAAATGTACTGTGTGCTGATTTGGGAGTGCGCAGGGGGTTGGTTGTGTCCTTGCACTGGGAGAGGTTTATAGAATCCCAGAATGGTTTGGGTTGGAAGGGACCTTAAAGCCCATCCAGTGCCACCCCCTGCCATGGGCAGGGACACCTTCCACTAGCCCAGGTTGCTCCAAACCCCATTCAACCTGACCTTGGACACTTCCAGGGATCCAGGGGCAGCCACAGCTTCTCTGGGCAACCTGTGCCAGGGCCTCCCCACCCATGCAGCCATGAACTCCTTCCCAATATCCCATCTATCCCTGCCCTCTGGCAGTTAGAAGCCATTCCCCCTTGTCCTGTCCCTCCAGACCCTTGTAAATGGTTTCTCTTCATCTTCCCTGCAGGCTCCTTCAGGTCCTAGAAGGCCACAATGAGGTCTTCCCAGAGCCTTCTCGAGGCTGAACAGTCCCAATTCTCTCAGCCATTATTTATGCTGAAATGTAACTGAGCATAGTGTGTGTGAGGGTTGAGATGTTTTTTTATGCTCTTCCATACTATGTGAGTTGTGACAGTATTAAAAAAAATGAAAAAATATTGTTGCAGTTTTCCTATGCTTTCCAAAGAGCTGAGGTTTGTTGTCTCAGGAACCGGAAGTACCGCGGCATAGCAAAGGACGTTGTCGTTTTCCCTGACTCTCCCAATTTTTCTTCCCTAGACCGCACCCATGGAGCACATTCAGGGAGCTTGGAAGACTATCAGCAATGGGTTTGGACTCAAGGATTCTGTGTTTGATGGCCCCAACTGTATTTCCCCCACCATTGTGCAGCAGTTTGGGTACCAGCGCCGAGCCTCTGACGATGGCAAAATATCCGACACTTCCAAAACCAGCAACACCATCCGCGTGTTCCTGCCCAACAAGCAGCGCACCGTGGTGAGTCTGGGCTGCCTTTATCCCAGGAGTGTCCTGTCCCCACTGCTGACACTGGGATGTGTGTCTGGCTCCAGGAATGCCAGGCTTCACAAAGGGTCCTGCTGTGACTCGGGGTGTTACCAGTTGGTTCATTCTAGGGGACATATTTTGAAAGCACTGTATCTGTATGTTGAGAACTTGTATTCCTCTGCCTCAGTGCTGGGAATTTTCCAATATGGACAAGCTGCATCCTTTGCTTACATAAATCACGTTAAAAAACAGTTGTTGGCTGGCCCAAACAATGATGTCTGTAGGACAGTCTTTTCTGTCACCGTTTTCCTCACTTGTATGCCTACAGTCAAGTGTGGTGGTTAAAGCTGAAGTGAAATGTCTTGAGGGAGCACTTCTGTTCAGCTTCTTGGAGCTGAGAGTACTAAAATTAGTCTGACACAAAGTTCCCTGAAATCTAAATTAAGCCTTTGCCTATACTTCACGTAACTCTGTTTGCCTGCATTTTTTATTTACTTCTCTGGACTGCCTACTTGTATAAAATCCCATTTGATAGAAACTTAGGAGTTGTAAGAAACCAAGAAGTTTATGAAATGGCTTCAAAACTTCCTTTGCAGGAGTACACAATAGGTGGGGATGTGGCAGCAGATGTGCTGGCCTGGCAGGTTGACTTCATGTGCAGCGAGTTAAATTGGAAGGCACAGCACTTTTGTGGTTACATCATACAAGTAATTTTTGCTTATCTGTTTGTCCAAAGTAAACAGCTGTGCAGTTTTACTGGAATTTCTCAAGAAAATGAGAAAAAAGATGGCCTTCCACTCCTGGAAAAGCTTAAAGAAATTCTGCAATCCCTGATAAAGGTTTTGTTGGCTTTGTTTCCCTTTGGTCACAGGTGAACGTGCGAAATGGGATGACCCTGCACGACTGTCTGATGAAGGCACTGAAAGTGAGAGGGCTGCAGCCAGAATGCTGTGCAGTTTTTCGACTTCCTGAAACGAAAGGGTAAGAGGAGAACTTTTCAGCTAGAGAATAGGAAAATCTTGGGTTTGGCATAGCAGCAATAACGCTCTTATCTGTGGCTGGTTTCTTTTGAAAGCACAGTTTGGTTGTGAACTCTTCTGTGGTGCTTTCGTTACCCTCCCCTGGGGATAATCCTTCAGCTTCCAGGGTATTAACAATTTTAGTTTGGTTTAAAGCTAAATATTGAAAATACTTAAAATGGAGGGGTTCACTCAAGTGCTTGGAAGGTCTCACTGAGACTTTTGTCATGCTCTGGAATAAGTGATGCCTTCATATTTGAGGTGCATTTCACTGCTGCATTGGGAAACTTCAGTGCTAGTGATTCTTAACCAGCTTAACTGAATGTCTCTGTGTGCTCAGTTTGGAGGCTCTGATTCCTATACAACTTTCCAATGTTTGGTTTTAAATCTCACTTCAGATATTCCTTATTTTTTTGTAGGACTGGGGATGCTGCTATTAAATACCAAATGATTGTTTTACAAGCTGAGGGAGTGAAGGTATCTCATGGCGTTAATACACTTAACTTCACACCTCGTGAGGCTTGGGCTTAATGCTCCTGGAAGCCTCAGTCACGAGGCAGGAATTTGTGGGGTTACCTCTCTGTGGAACTCAGGCCGTTCTGGGGTCACCAGTAACTTCAGTGCCCAAGCACTTTCATGTCACTGAGTCTGTCGTTCATAATTCCTTATGTTTTGTTTGCAAGGGTGTTTCTGTGACTCCATTAAGACTTCCAAGTGTCTTATTTCAAATAACATATATATAAAATGTCTTAAATGTTCAAAAATGAGCAGAGAGAGTGGTGACCCGCAGCGCATTCAAAGCTGCTCCACATGTTTGAAGTGAGGGACAACAGGGATGTAGCTCCTGTAAGAGGCTGGCCGTGCTTTGCTTTGTATTTTTCAGTTTACTCAAGAAAACTCACACAACACAGATTGTTGGTTAGGCCAAACTTTTTATCTCCTAAGGAATTTTGTTTTCTCTGTTTTCTCCCTCAGAAAAAAGGTGCGTTTGGATTGGAACACGGACGCTGCCTCCTTGATTGGAGAGGAGCTGCAAGTGGACTTCCTTGATCATGTTCCGCTCACTACACACAACTTTGTAAGCTTTGCCTTGTCTGTATTTTGATGTAAATTGTATTAATTGAACCACGTACTCAGTCAAAGAATGTTTTGGGCATTAGACAGCTTTTGGCTTCCTAAGCACAGGGATTTTCAGAAATGATGATTGATTCCTTCACCCCTGCTCCCCGCAAATTAGACTGGCTAAGTATCAATTTGCATTGAAATGCCAGAATTGTATTTATTTCATTAGTGATTCCTGGGTGTCAGAGACTCTGAAAGCTCACATTATGCACACTCTTCAAAGGTCTGATGATTGCCATTTTTATTTTATATAAATACATATTTATGTAACTGTTGTATTAAGATATTGTGTCTTTAAAGTCCAGAACTGTGAGATAATTTGCATTTTCAGTCTCTGACTCATCAGTCAAAAAAGGCTGGATAAGTTCAGGACATTTATTGAACTGATGGTATTTGTACTGAATATACAGGGAGAGTGTTAATTCTGCAGGTCGTGACATTGCTCTGTGAGCTAATGCTGCCCTGTAGTTTGACAGAGTGGTTTTTTGGGGGATGAAAGGCTAAAGGCTTTCAAGCTCCTTCTCAAAAATGGATTATTTATTCAATAATAAATAAGGTTTGTGTTTTAGGGTTTGGGTATATGTGTGGGTTTTTTCCAGCTCTTCCATTATTTCCTTCTTCATGGGAAGGAACTCCATTCCTCTATTTTAGCCTGTTGTGTTGTTGCAGAAATATGTTGTGCTAAGTGGCAAACCAAAGGATTGTCATTTCCACCCATTAGAAAGGTTAGGATTGATTTACAAAATCTGAAAGTAGCATTAATTCTACTTGACATTTTTAGAAAACTACACAAAAAAAATCATCTACAGTTGGTCACCAGAAAATGAATATTTTTCTCCAGATCTGAGAGGAGCTCAAACTTCAAGATTTCCTCCCCAGTATGTTCTGGAGGAAGAAACCCTGTGGTTCATTATACTCTTTTTTCATATTGCAGAAGCTTCAAGAGAAAAATGCATCCTGCCATTTAAGAAAGTAGAAATTCCTTAAGCTATTTTATTTACTAAGGAACTTATTTCTTATGCAAGGGATATTGGTTAGTCATAAACATACCCCAAGGGTTTTGACTAATAAAAATAATAACGAAGTGGTCCTTACAATCAGATCCTCCTTCCTCCCTGGTGTTACCAAAAACAAACAAAAAACCCCAGTTCTTGGCCCACTGAGCTCTGTCACCTTACTGGGCAAAAAAATTGCTTTTGCGTTTGACAGAACACTTTTTTTCTTTCTTTTTTTTTTGTAAACAAAGCCCTGAGTGTTTCTGAGCTTTCCAACCAAACTGGAAATCTGTGCAAGAATATCCAAGTGCGGTTTTCGGTTCAGTAGCAGTCTGGGGGCACTGATAACAAATAACAGGGTGCTCATTTCTGCCAGGCTCTGCAGATCCCAGTGGGGGTTAATGAGGAGCAGTCTGTAGCTGGGATGAATGATTTGGGGTGTTTTCCAGGCTCGGAAGACCTTCCTGAAGTTGGCCTTCTGTGACATCTGCCAGAAGTTCCTGCTCAATGGCTTCCGCTGTCAGACCTGTGGCTACAAATTCCACGAGCACTGCAGCACCAAGGTCCCGACCATGTGTGTGGACTGGAGCAACATCAGGCAGCTCTTGTAAGGACTGTTTGTTTTTAATAGCAGCCGGGATTTCTCTGTGACAGACAAGCATTTTTTTATCTCTTATCGTGCTGATAAATTTGGATGGTTGGGAAGTGGATCAATATCCAGGATTGTGCATTGATTTCATGAAACAGCCAGCAATGATTGTCTGTTCCCAGGGAAAGAAGGCTGTTTACATTCAAGGCATTTTGCTCTGGCACTAAATTTTAATATTCTGGGACAAGCAAACAAATATCCTGAGTGACCCTCTGTTTGAACAGTGATAGCAATTCCTCACATAACACTTTTGTGAGGAATAAAAAAGGCCATGATTCGGTTGGTTTTTAGCTGTTGGAAGCATTAGCGTGCAGAACTGCACAACTTCTGACACCCTGCTGAAAACAAATAGGATGGTGAGAAAACAGATGAAGAATAATACTTTCCTAGTATTGCTTAAAAAAAGTTGAAAATCATTGTTAGAAGTCCTTTCATGCAAAAGTGTTAAAACCTGGAATCGTTTTTGTGTCTTAGTGATTGTATTTTTTTATAACTGAACTTGCTCATGCAGTTATGCATTTTCTCATGCTGACCAGTTATTAGAGCGTAGGATGACTTGGTGCTACCTGGGTTTAATGGAACTTGAAAAACATGGGTCAAATACTCTTTCAGGAAAATCTGAAGTCTCTGAAGTTTAGAAGGAACACATGGACATTGTCTTTTGGAGTCTGAAGGCAGAGGTTTTAGTCGTACCACAGACAGGGGGAAAACACGATGCAAAAACAGGAATGTGTTCATGAAGTTCATTATGCTGCAGAGAAACAGCCCTTTGAAATTAGAGCTTCAAAGAGCATTGTACAGGAGGTAGTGTAGCAGTTGAAGTTGTAATTGTTTTTGTTGATATTTCAGATTGTTCCCAAATTCAAATATCAGTGACAGTGGTGTCCCTGCACTACCTCCCTTGACAATGAGGCGGATGCGGGAGTCTGTCTCCCGGCTACCTGTTAGGTAAGATAGTATTGCCTGTCATTTCTGCTTTGGGAAATACACTTGTTTCAAAACAAACAGTCAAAACCAACAAAAGACCCCCAACTCCTCAAAAGCAGAAGGTTGGGATGAATGTGCAGGGTGGCAACACCACTTCCTCACAGATAATATGCAGTGTCCTTTCTTGTTCTTGAATTCAAGCAGACCATTGATTTGAGATTTTATATTTTTAATTTTCTGTCTTAAAATTGTAAGGAAGGGTTTTTGGAGACCTTTGTTTTTCTGCCTAAGAAAATTCAAGGCTCCCTTTTGGTATTTTTGTGAATGAATTTTATTTTATCCGATCAGGCAGTACGGTGCATCAGGGGTTTGTGTCGTGCTGGATGATTTGCATACATTAAAATAATGCTGTGATGTTGTGATGATAGGAGTTTAAAGAGAGAACAGTGAGACCTGAAAATTGCTCCTCCTAAAGAAAATTTTGATGCCTCAAGAGAACATTCTTGTAGTTTTAAATGCTAAAATAAAACATGCATTCCTTTCCAAGGGGCCTGTCTCCTGATCCTAACTTGTGCCTGTATTCTTTTCCTTGAAATTCTAGAGGCTGAAGAGAGCAGGCCAGCTTTTGTTTTTTCTGCATCTCTTTGAAAAATCTTGGCCTATTCAGGAATGAGGCACAAAGCACATAGTTGACTTGCAAATGGTTCTATGTATTTCTTTCTTTATTTTAGTGGGAACTCCATCAGAATTGATCTTTGCCATCTCATTCTATTTCTGCTGTTGTTAAACAATGACTTACTAATTTGATAGATGTTTTTAAGCTTTTTTGTGAAGACTGGCTGATTTCAGTTAAGATACATGTGTGTTTTGGGATCAATATGGTTTGAGTGACCTTAACTGTGATTTATAACTTTCTGTGGAACTGGATTTTTGTGTTGGCCTCCTTTTAGCTGGTGTTGAGTTTCATGACTTCCTTGCTGACTGTTCTGAGCAAAGCATTGAACAGTCTTGCAAGCCTTGACAAATTCAGGGCTTAGCTCTCAAGCTGTACATTCAACAGGCTTGAAATGAGCAGTTTGTATAAGTTTTACAGCCCTGAATGCATCTATCAGAGCCAGTATTTTGTCAGCACATTAAATGTGATTTGATGGGGATTGAGGTGAACTGTGGCAAAATTCGTAATGGCAGAAACAGTCTTATGTTAAACACACTAGTGTTTGTATGTGAGCTGTCAAGAACTTTGAGGTTTTTCAGTTTATTTCCAAAGTTAAACTGGGAATGATTCAGCTGACCAGACAGTGTAGTTGGTGTGAAAGTCCCAGCTTTTTCTCTGATTGGAATTCTGTGTATATTGCTTTTGGATAGGTTACACTGAACAGTGTTTTTCAATTGCTAGTGGGGAAAAAAATAACCACAACTTTCCCTTTCTCTCTCTCTCCTCAGTTCCCAGCACAGGTATTCTACACCTCATGCCTTCACATTCAACACCTCCCATCCTTCCTCTGAGGGCTCTCTGTCTCAAAGACAGCGATCCACATCCACACCAAATGTCCACATGGTCAGCACTACAATGCCTGTAGACAGCAGGATAATTGAGGTAATCCTGGGAGGAGGGAGCAAGTAGCATAAAGTTAAACTAAAACTCTGAGTGGCCATCTAATAAGTCACCGATTGGGTTTTCTTCTTTGCTTTCTGTCATTAGCTTACTGTTGGCCTTAGTTGGCCGAGTGATGTACAGTATAGGTGACACATCTGCATAGAAAGTTAATAATTCATTCTTGCAGTCTATCAACTTTGCTGAACTGATAGGCAGATTTTTGGTGTATGTCAGGATGTGGTGGAGCTTAACAATTGAGTTTTCCAGATCTGAAGAGAAAATAAGCTCAGCTTTGCTGAAGAAATGCCTGTTAGGCATGTCTAAAAATGTTCTTTCAAACTTAAAAGTCTGGGTTTGTTGTGGGGTTGGTGTTTGTTTTAGGTCAGACTACAGGTGCTGTAAATCTGGGTGTAGTTCTTCGACTTGGAATACTCAAGTCAAAGCCTACTGGTGATATGCTTTGTGTTATCCCTGTAGGATAACAGTGATTCTGGGTTTGTGGGCTAAAGCCAGCTTATCTCAGGGTACTTCTGCTGTTACTTGCTTCAAGCACCTTTTTCTTTTATTTTCCTACCTTGGACTGGCAGTAGTGAGGGACAACTCTTTGAAGTCAGGCCTAAAGTGGTTGGGGTTTTGTTTAATTTTGCTTTGTGATAACCCTGACAAAATGAGGGTGTGGTGTGCAGGAAAGGCTGGCAGAAGGGAATGCTGAGCTGCAGGACCTCAGACAGAGCACTGTTTGGTAGTTTCTTCCTCTGGAGTGGTTCAAAAACTCTTCAGGCCAAGCAAAAGCCTTTGACTGTGGAGTTCAGGTGCATCTTCAGCTGCTAGTTCAGAGCCCTCTGTGGCATGTGAAGGCTGAAGTGTGCTGCAGAATTCCTGTGGCCCTTCGGGAGGGAGGGACAGTGCCCTACAGCCCCAGGAAGTGTTTGTGGTTGGAAGCTTTGTGGCCCCTTTCTCTGGGGTTTCCTTAGGCTCACAACCTTTTTCAGTGCTTCAGAACCCTGCTGACCATCTGTGGTGGCACCAAACATGATGGAGCACTCAAAGAGAGATGAATTACCTTTGCAGAGTGATGGGGCTTCAAGGAGACATTGCTTTCTTTATTCGTTATCAGAGCAGTAAAGACAGAAATGCTTTCTGTTCTGGCTCTTCACGTTATCATAGGGATTGAGTAAAAACACTTGGTGTGTCTTAAAGGCTTTTCCAAAAGGCTTTAAAAGGGTCCCAGAGCAATGCAGGAAAAAGGGAGTAGAGACCTTTTAGTATGTCAGGAGAAAGATCACCTTAAGGTGGTTTACCAGAGGCAGGTGTTAGTGAACTTTGATTTGAGCAGGAATACTTATTTGAAAATTTTACTGCACTTACTTACCATTTATCAACCAAATTAGGTTGCTTTTTCTTTACTGTAACCTAACATTTTAAAATTATTTTTTATACTTCCTCTGTTCTTTTCTTTTATCTCTTACCATGTTGGCCTAGAATAACAGCCTGAATGCTTCTCCCAGTTCCTGGTGCAGACGGTTTTGTTTGAGGGGAAGAGTAGGTATTTTCTTGGTGCCTTTTGTTTTCTTGTGATTAACAGGATTGCTATAACTCGTAAGCCATGGCAGTGTCCACGTGAAGTGTTTAATCAGTGGAGCTGATTGGATGGAAACCTTTGTAGCATGTTTATACCTAAATATTGAGGACACTAATTGGAAGAGGCAAACTGATGGAAGAGCTTCCTTTCTGTTGAGCTGAGTGGATTCAGAGCACTGTGAATTGGAGGAGCCTTGGATTAGAGATGCCTTTGGTCACACAGCCCTTAAAGCAGAACCTTCTCAAACACATCTGTTGTGTGGCTTTTTCCTTCTGGAAACTATTTATACTGACTATAACTATACAGAGCCCTTAGACTAAGAACAGGTACCGTTTTTATTTCACATGAAAGTAAAGTTGACAGACTACAGCACTGTGTATGGTGTTATTTGTTTTGGGAGAACAACTCCAAGAAAGTGGGTTTGCTTCATTTGCTGTTGGATTCATAAGCAAAGAAGAAAATATTCAAATCAGAGTTGAAGTTCAAAATACTTTTTTAAAGTAAGAATTAAGTATACATAAGTATGAGAACAGTTGAAAATTCTTTAGTTATTCTTTAGCCAGCTTAATTTAAAGCAGTTACGTTCTCAGGCTGATGTACAAAACCCACCACCTGTTATTAATTCAGGTTCTGAGAGGTTTTTATTGTCCTTCAAATGGACAAAGTAATAATTGCAAGAGTTCATTGATAGTTTATGCAGATTTTAATCCACTCAGGTGTTGAGTGCAGGAATACTGTGCATAGTCAAACCTGGGAGAATGCAACCAATTGGCTAAAATTATGCATTTCATAAATGAATCTTTGCTAAGGATAATCTTAATTTGAAACTGTACAGTGGAATGTAGGCTTGTTCTGTCCTTCTATGAAATCTTACATTTATTATTCTACTAACTAGTTAGTTTGAATTGACTTCTGTTAACTCTGACAGTATTTAACATTTCTGTAGTGCATGTTCTTGCTTTGTACTTATACAGTCCCTGGATATTTTACCTTTCCTGTATGTTCTTTGGGATAATCCCTAGCAGGTGAGAAAAGCTGTGCAGTCCTGTTTGTCAGAGCTTAGTTTTCCTTGTGCATGGCTGTAGAGTTGTGTTGTGCCTGTGGCATGAGGTGAGAGCTGTCACACTGTACCAACAAGTGCCCTGTGCAAACCCATGCTTTCAAATGCCAGACTGGAACCCTGGGGGAGATGTCCTGGGAACCAGGAGGTTTTGTATGAGGGCACAAATTGTAGCCTTTTTTTTTTTTTTGGGTTGAAATAGTAGAGTAGAGATGTTTTAAAATGTATATTGAATTGGAATATTTTAGGCCTTTTTTTTTTTTTAAGTTTTCCTACTTGTAACCCAAAACCTGTTTGGGAACTTGTCCCCTGGAGACAGAGGCCATCCCAGGAGCTGTCCCAGCCCTCAGACACAAGCATGTCCCAAGTGCAGGGGGGGAATGCAGGCAGCATTGATGGTGTTCTTCTTGTTCTGTGTCTTTGTTTTCCTCCCACTTTCCTTCTTTGGTAGTAATACCCTTTAATATGCTGTGACTCTTTTCATGTTTTGTAAGAATTCACAAATTGCATGGGTTTAGCATACAGGATTGTTATAACTAGGAAATCACCCATCTTTAGGAGGGTGTTGGCCAATATTGCACTCAACCAAAACTGGCAGAACCAATTTCAACACCATTCCTGCTTGTTCCTTTGTGTGCTCTCTGATGTATATTAACTTCATTATCCATCTTCCCTGTTTTAGGATGCAATTCGAAGCCATAGTGAATCAGGTATGTTTTCAAAAACTTAAATAATTTCTAATACTATTTTGATTGTTTATTTTCTTGTTCATGAATTATTTTTCTTGTTTCCATATTTAAGCCTCACCCTCTGCTCTGTCTGGAAGTCCTAACAATATGAGCCCAACTGGCTGGTCTCAGCCTAAAACCCCAGTCCCAGCCCAAAGAGAGAGAGCTGCTGGATCTAATACACAAGAAAAGAACAAAATTGTAAGGGTGGTAATATTTGTTTTAATTTAAAAAAAAAGTTAGATTAGGCTGGGAGTAGGGGTGTGTTGGGATAAATTTCTGCTCTTAAAAGGCATTAAAAGCTGCTGGTAGTGTTGGATTGCTCTGCACTGTGTATGTAGTAGCAATATAATTTGAACTAATTTGGGAACGATCACTATTGTGTTGGGTTATAAATGCTCAGAACTGAGTGTTCTGCATTGAAAATGAATTTCAGATAGTAGTGTGAAATTGTTTTCCAGTGCAGATTCAAGGATTACCTTTTAAATCTTCAGAGGTTGCATCTTTTTTATTATTTTTAGTATGTTTAAGGTTAGCCTTATTATCACTATTATCCCTGTGTTGCCATAGCTTCCGTAGAAAGTGGATATTAATAGTGCCTTCATTTTCATGGCAAGTTAGTCAGAATGGCTCAGGGAGAAATAGCTTTAGCAAAATGCAAGTTTTCCCTCAAATGTTTGATTTAAACTTAGATGATGGAGGGGGGAGAAAGAATAGTTAGAGTAATAATTAGTTATATTTTTTTCAAAATGCAAGTACAGTTGCTAAGTGGGACTCAACAGTTGTTACTCACTTGGACATCTGACATTTCACTCTCATCTTTTTGTTTTATTCCTTTTAAACACATAAAGAGTTCCAGAATTTTAGAATTTTGAAGAAGCCAGTAAGATTCTTAAGTATTTCAAATGGCTTTAAATAGTTGATTGTAAAATATTTGTTCTTCTTAAGATCTAAGATTAGGGTTTAAGTTTCTAGGGCAGAGCTGAGGATAACTTTTTAAAGCAGTTCAAGCCATCCAAGAAACTGGATGAGGAGAAAAAGAAAAGTCCAGATTGCAGGACAAAACCCTCAAGGTTTCAGGTCATATTTTTTGTGTGTATATGTAATACATTTGATTAAAAGGTAAGAGTAAAAACCGTGTCAATTTTTGTTCCAGAGGCCTCGTGGACAGAGAGATTCCAGTTATTACTGGGAAATAGAAGCCAGTGAAGTCATGCTTTCCACCAGGATAGGGTCAGGTTCCTTTGGAACAGTTTACAAAGGCAAATGGCACGGTGAGTTCTTGACTTGGCACCGTCTCACAGTGTTGATGTGGTGGGACAGCACTCCTGAAAAAGAGAATTTAATGATGCTCTGCGCTTTTCTAGCACCACAGGTAGTGGGTGAGAAACAGTAACTTCCTTACTGTAGCAGCACTGAAATTAAGGCAAAGAACAGACATTAATCAGACATTTCTATCATTCACGATTTTTCTGCTCTTCCCGGATAGAAGATTTATCCCTCCCCTTCCAAAATGGAGTAGTATCTAAGTCTAGAAAGTTTGCTTTTTAGATAAAGCTTTGTTAAAAAGGTTATGTATATATATACATATAGACATTTTAATATTTAAAGTTAATTATAAAAATGCTGAAGTTGGATAGCAAAATGTTGATTTACATGCAAATTAGTAGAGGTGTATTGTACACAAATTAGGAGTTTTAATTACACTGCATATTACTGTTATTTTGGAGAGGAGAAGAAAAAAAAGCTGCATTTTTAGTAACTTTTATGGTCAATGTATTTTCAGGGGATGTAGCAGTGAAGATACTAAAGGTGGTAGATCCAACCCCAGAGCAGTTCCAGGCTTTCAGAAATGAAGTGGCTGTGCTGAGGTGAGTTGGGGTTTCACTGCTAAACTCCTTTATTCCAAGGCTCTGTGTTTGATTCCCACCCCTCCTTTAAGCCTTTTTGCCCAATATTCTGTGTTTGATAGATACAAAAAGCAGATCTCCAGAGAAAAACGAAAACATTTATATTGACAATTCTGACTGTTGCTGTGGAGCTGTGAGACACAATCACAGCTCAGAGGCTTTCAGGGGTTCTTTGCTGCTTCTGAAAGTTGTGTTTTCACCTCAGTAGTGCAAACACCCAGAATTGTTCAGGTCACCTCGGGCAGGAAAAGGTGAGGATTAATAAATTCTGCCATAATTCTCACCATCAGAGGACTTGAACTCATACTTGATACTTTTAAAATTGCAGCAAAAGACTTTTTTTTTTTAATGCTTAAACATGTACTTTGATCTGAGAGCTTTTTGCTTTGAAATACTGGTTTTTTTAGTGTTTGAATAACTATCTGTGATGTTCCTCCTGAAACTGAATTCTTTAGATACATAAAAACCATCTTCTCATCTGATAATTCCTTCAGTTTATATAGACCCTTTAGTTTCCTCTTGACATTAATTTTTCTCTCTAAAGTTGTCACTCTTGCACAGCTTTCAGGATGATTCTGTTGTTCCAGTAACTCTTTCTAATACCACTTGCAAACGTGAATGTTGGTCATTGATTTCAAAACACTGAAATCTTCATGACGTCTTTTCCTTAAATGTTGATTATATATAACTTCTGTGGAACTAAAAAGCAGTATTTTAACTAAAATTTTAACCAAAAAACCAGCTGATTTTATTAAAAAAATATAAATTGGCAACCCTGGCGTATTTTTATTATTTGTAAAACCAAACTTTAGTCACATATCCAGCTTGGAAAAATTTTGCAGGAAACTCATGTTTTTTGGCCTTCAAAGCTGAAATACGTTCCTTCAGCCAGGAATCCACTTTTAAGGGCCTTTGAACACGTTTTTTATGGAGACACTGATTTCCCTGTCTGCTCCTTTCTGTTAGGAAGACTCGGCACGTGAACATCTTGCTCTTCATGGGCTACATGACCAAGGACAACCTGGCCATCGTGACCCAGTGGTGCGAGGGCAGCAGTTTGTACAAACACCTGCACGTCCAGGAGACCAAGTTCCAGATGTTCCAGCTCATCGACATCGCCCGGCAGACAGCACAGGGCATGGAGTGAGTGGGATGGACAGGCCTGGCCTTGGCCTTGGAGTGGGGTTTGCCTTCCCTTCCTCAAACCCTGGCATGGGGAGGCTGTGCTGAAATAGGAATGGGGCAGAACGGGCTGTGCAGCCTCAGCTCAGCACTGTTGGGGGAGCTGTGCTGCTGTTCAGTCATTTGTCCCTGGGGATTCTTCAGATCACAGGGTCAGGGAATGGGTTGGGTGGGAAGGGACCTTAAAGCCCATCTCATTCCACCCCCTGCCATGGGCAGGGACACCTTCCACCAGTCCAGGTTGCTCCAAGTTCATCCAACCTGGCCTTGGACACTTCCAGGGATGGGGCAGCCACAGCTTCTCTGGGCAACCTGTGCCAGGGCCTCCCCACCCTCACAGGGAAGAATTCCTTTCTAATATCCCATCTATCCCTGCCCTCTGGCAGTTAGAAGCCATTTCTCCTTGTCCTGTCGCTGTCTGCCCATAGAAATCCCCCTTCCTCCTTTTTATAAGCTCCCTTCAGGTCCTGGAAGGACCCGTGAGGTCTTCCCAGAGCCTTCTCTTCTCCAGGCTGAACAAACCCAGCTCAGTTCATGTCACTTATCAGTCACCTCTTCTGTATTTTATCTTGTATGGCTTGAGGTTGTTATAACACACTAAATAAGATCCTGTTCTAAATATACAATTAAGGGGTTTTTTAATTCCCCCTGTTGCTGTAACATTGCAGTGTTTGACAACCACTAATTCATCCTGCTGGTAGTTCTGTGGGATGAGGGAGTGGCTGTTCCTACTCTGCAGCTCCAGGACTCGCTGAGATACATCCTGCAGATGTCTGAGTTGACTGAGGCCCCACCTCACTGCTCTGCCAGCACTTGTTCTGATGCTGGGAGCACACAAGGTGCTGTCAGTGCTCATCCATTTTGTGCATCAGGACCCAGGTTTCCAGTCAGACCCCCAGCAAACTGGGGACATGTAAATGGAGAGGGTTTGTGAACAGTGCCCTTAGCACAGGGGACGGATTTCCTGCACAGGAGGCCAGCCCCAGTTCTGCAGGATGAGTGTGAGTGATGCCATCCCTGTGCCCGAGGTGCTGTCCTGCATTCAGCTCATTGTTTAGAGTCTCCTCCTGGTGACCAGAAGTGCCCTCATCCTGTCCCTGGACTCAGGCCAGAGGGGTGAGCAGTGGTTGAGTGTGCCATGAACTGCCCTGGGTGCTGGGGGTCCGTGGAAAGGCTGTTTGGGAGCAGCTTTGGGAATGACACTGCTCTGCTTTTCCTTCACAGCTATTTACATGCAAAGAACATCATCCACAGAGACATGAAATCCAATAGTATCCTTTCTTAATGGTCCTGCCTTCAGTGGGAGGGTGATTTATTGGTAATGGAGCTTTTGGGGGGGTTGAAATAGCTGTGTCATAAATATATATATATATATATATATATATAAAATAATGAGCAATTCCTACCGATGAGCAAGAAGCTGCTTTTTAGGGAGGACTTCCATAGGACACATGTGCTTGCTTTTCATACTCTTGGGGTAAAGATGTGCAACAGTTGGGCTCCCAAAGCGTCTTGTTTTAGTTAAATGGTGTTCGTGCAATTGTCTGGTACCCTGGGACAGGCTGCATCTTCCCTTGATGGGAGCAGTGCCTGCTGATCTGTGTGTGCACATGTGGGGCTTGGGACTGTTTCTCATGTATTTTAATATATTTAGAACACCTCATGTGACTGCCAGAAATGAAGCCAAAAATCTTACTTTAAACTCAAGAAAAGGCAGCCTTTTACCACTATATTTTGTGCAAAAATACAGATTTAGTAATGCATGTGGAGTAAAAATGTTGTGAACTGATGTCTTTTGCCTTTGAAAGTGCCTGCTTTTGGAGTTGCCAGGAACAGCAGGAATTGTGGCTTCCTTCCATAAAATCTGAACAGGATGTTTTGAAAATGTCATCATAAAAAAAATATGCCAAATTCAGTAGTTCCATAATGGGGATTCCCATTTTCAGTTAAACTAGAAATAGAATCATGTCAGTGTATAGGAAGTCAGGAGTTCGTGATTCCTGATAATGATTTTTGTGAAATAAATCAGCTCTGCTTCTGACATGGAAATTAGAGTCAGTCATGTTTATATTTCCGAATCATCTCTTTGAACTTAAAACATTCCTAAGTGAAATTGTTAAATGATATTTTAAAATAACCCCAGCAAAGAAAGTGCTGGCTATCAATCATAATAGGCAGATCTGTTAAGGAGATAATTACAAGTAGTACAGAATATTTCCAGTTAAAATAGCTACACTATGGTTAAATCTCAGGAGATCTGCCAGAGAGCTTTATGTAAATAGATTTATTTTATATTTACTTCTACTCGTAGGTTTGTTTGGTTTTTTGTTTGTTTGGTTTAGGGGTGTTTTTTTTGAGTTGTGAGACCTCTGTGCTGTTTCCTTTTGTGTCTTGTGACACCAGTTCAGTATTTAGGTACCTGCAGGCATTGATGGTAATTAGCATTGTTGATTTCTGTCCTAACTCACCATAAGGATAGATGTACAAATAATGCTGAAACATCTGGTCTGGTTTAGTCTTAAATGTTAACTTTGTAAATATGGATGCCATAAACTGCTTTTCCTGTGTTGAAGATAGAGCTTGCAGCAGGTTTAAATAAAACAATCAGCAATATTCTTGGATAGCGGCTCGTGTTTGTGATCAGCAGACACTTTGTAGCCACGTCAGAAAATCCAGAGTGGTTTCCTCAGTTTTGCAGAGTTTCTTTAACAAGTCTTTAGATATATTTCTGCACGAAGGCCTCACAGTGAAGATCGGAGACTTCGGGCTGGCCACGGTGAAGTCGCGCTGGAGCGGATCCCAGCAGGTGGAGCAGCCCACGGGCTCCATCCTGTGGATGGTGAGCCAGCCCTGCCCTGCTCCAACCCTGCCTTTGGGCCTCTTGTGTTCTGGCAGCTGCACACTGTTTGACACCTTAAACCTCAATGAACGTGCTCTGAGTACTGTGGAGACTCTCCTTGCAGTTGTAGGTTGAGTTAAGATTGAAGCACGGAGTGCTGGAGTGTTCACTGTGCAAAGGGACACCAGGCACCTGAGGTTTCTCCTCTGGAGTGTTGGAGGTATTTAAATACTTAGGGCTGTCAGTGTGCCAGGAAGTGTCCTTTAAAAACATCAGGATGCTTGGCCAGGATTGGTTTGTGCTTTGTAAAATACACACAACACCTGAAACCAAGTTACAAGAGCAGAAATTTTTTCTTTTAGAAACTTATTACAGAAAGCCAAATTTTTTTACAGCTTTCAGTAAAAGGATTTAAAACTAACCCAGTGGATACCTGAAACAGATCTTGGGGAAAAAACCCTGCATATTTGTTCTTTGCAGGTTTTTTCCCATTTTAATCATTTGTAGCCCATCTTTGCTGAGCTGTCATCACATAGAAGGGGAGGTTGTTTCCGTTTCCTTGCAGGTTGCTCTGATCCCTTACTGGGGTTTTGTTGTGCTGTTGTACTTCAGTGCTTTGCTCAGTAATTCTGGGGGACTTCATTAGGGGAAAAAAGTCTCAGTCAATGGGAAAGTTATTTGGATTGTTTCTCTCTGGTTTTGTTCAGTCATTCAAAGTTGTTTCCTTTAAGCTGTTCAGCTTCATAATTGTGCTGTGTTTTGCAAAGGTGCTGCAGTGCTCCTGCAGCTCTTCCCTGCTCTTCAGTCTGGGCTGTTTCCTACTTGGCTTTCATGAAAATGTTTTGATACGGATGTTATAAAATACCAAGTCTGTATTGGGATTGTGTGTTTTCCCCCTTTAACAGGGATACCTGTTTAAGAACTGATGGATAAAGTCTCAGGCTCAGCTCTCTGAGCCCCAGCACTGACCTTTTGATGGCACAGTGCCCGCTCAGCCAGAGCCTTGCTCGTGTGCCCTCAGTGTTTAACCCCCTCCTGCTGTGTTTGTTCCCTGCCCAGGCCCCCGAGGTGATCCGGATGCAGGACAGCAACCCCTTCAGCTTCCAGTCAGATGTCTACTCCTATGGAATAGTGTTATATGAGCTGATGACAGGAGAGCTGCCCTACTCCCACATAAACAACCGAGATCAGGTGAGGAACACACTGGGACACAGCATTTGATTTCTGGGTATTGCACATTTCGCAGGATAAACACAAATGCAAAACAATTGAAATGTTATTTATAACCTGCTTTGTTTCAGCAGCAAATCTGTGTTACTGAATGTTGATTCAGTATTGACAGGGACAGTTACTCAACGGAAAAAAATTGTTTTTTATAAACATTGTAAGTGCCCTGTGAATTTATTCACAGGTTAAAGCTTTAGGTACCTCAGTAAAATCTTGGTTTATACATTTGCATTTACGTGAACTTTCCCTTTTGATGTTAAAAATGTTGTTCTTGTATGTTGGATTCTGTGCTTTTTACTAAGGCAAAAAAATAGTGCCTATTGTCAGACCTTTAAATATGGAACGTTGGTGTGATTTAGTCTTTCCTGGGCTGTAGTCACCCAACCAATAATGGTAAAGAAGCACACTGAGGCCAGAACCCCCAACTGTTCTCTTCCCATGAACACTTCTCCTGGCTTAGCCAGTGCAGAGCCAATGCTGCAGGGCAGGAACTGTGGGATCTTTGGGAGCTGTTTTGATGATCCTCAGTTGTGGTTTGTGGTTTTGGTTGCTTTTTATAAAATTAAGATCTTCTAATGAGAAGTGTGTGTGTATGGAGATTATGGGGGCAAACAACTAGATTTTAGCCTCTATTAGTGACTCTTATAATCTGTAATAATTCACAGTCAGTGTTGTAAGTAGAAGAGGCCACTTCTGTTAAGCTAAGGAAGTTGTTTCTTATTTTAAGGTTGTCTACAAACTGGGCCATTGGAATATGCTTTAATTCATGATATTGAAATTATATGCAAGTTTCAATAACCATCACTGTTGCAAAACATGCAGCAGCTGACCCTCACATAAGTTTTCAGGAGGGACAGAATATTTCCAGGAGAAGAACACAAAGACATTATTTAGGATGAAAATCCTAAACAATGACCATATTAACCTGGATTAAAACAGAATAAATATTTTCCAACACTAATAACATCTTTTATTGTTTGTCTCAAAACAGTCCATTTCCTTTTTTGCTGCATTAGTTGTGATTAGTTCTGATGATCTCTTGCAACTGGCAGGCAGCTCCTTTTACAACATGACTTTAAGGTTGGACTTTACGATCTTGGAGGTCTTTTCCAACCTGAATGGTTCTGTGATTCAGAGATCCCTGAACATCAGGTTGTCACTGTAGACTCAGCAGAAGGAGCTCCCATGTCCATGTCATGGAGCACCAACAGCTCCTTCTCCTGCTGAGCCTTCCAAAGCCCAGCATTCCTGGTGCAGCCCCATCCTACCCTGCACACAGCGGGACCATCAGCCTGGTTAACTCACTGGGACAATCTGCAGGGCTCTGGGCTGTCCTTTGGTACTCAGATTTAATCACCACCAGTGAAACCACTTCCCTGACTTTGGTTTGTGCTGCTTCCTTGTTGTTCTGCAGATCATTTTCATGGTTGGCCGAGGTTATGCTTCCCCAGACCTCAGTAAACTGTACAAGAACTGCCCCAAAGCAATGAAGAGGCTTGTAGCAGATTGCTTGAAGAAGGTTAGGGAAGAACGACCTCTGTTTCCACAGGTAAGTGTGTTTTGTGCACAGGAGTTTCAGGGTATTGTATAAATAGCCATTAGCACACAAAAGAATCTGCTCAGGTGAAAGGTTTGGGTTACATGAAGTGCAGCTTGGTTCTTATTTTTGCCTTTGTTCATAACCCAGCTCCTTTGGCAGTTGGTATTTTGGTTCTGCAAAGGTCACGAAAAATCGTGACTCATGAAGCTGAGGCTGTGCCAGGTGACCCACTTTAGAGAGAAGCAAAAACCCACCCTAACACAATTAAAATCAAATCTGTTTCTCTGTATACATTTTATTTTAGTGTAGGTTTGAGGGAAATGAGAGACAACTCCTCCTTTCCTTCCCCACAACTAAAAACAAGCAAACAAAATCCACTGGGGGATGGAAATTCATGTAGCAATTTTTGGTATTTTTACAAGGGATACTTTACCTTTTTCTGTCACTATGAGGATGGGGAAGGTGCTTTCTTATTAAATAGCTGGAATTAAATATCAGCAGATTTTGGAAAAAGAACTTCTTGCTGTTTTAAACAGCTTGTTTAAAAAGTTCTTTCCAACAGTTCTTTGCAAACAGACTGTCAGGCAGAAAATGCAGTTCTTTCCCTGTTACTCTGCTGGGATCGCACAGATGCTTGTGAATTGACTGAGAACTAATGGAAAACCCCTTCCCACCCTCTGACCCTCCCTGAGGCTCCTCAGAGCACAGCCTGGCTGGTAGAGGTGGGTTATTGCAGCTGCAGGGTTGTGTTCAGTGCCCACAGAGCACGTTGGCTGCTCTGCAAGATAAGCTTAAAGCCAGAACTGAATGGAGTTGGAAAGGAACTGAATGAAGGGATGAATGAAGGTTTAAGACTGACCTAGGCAGAGCTGCCTCTCTGAGCAGCCCCTAACTGGGTGTGTTCCCCCAGATCCTGTCGTCCATCGAGCTGCTGCAGCACTCCCTGCCCAAGATCAACCGCAGCGCGTCGGAGCCGTCGTTGCACCGCGCGGCGCACACGGAGGACATCAACGCCTGCACCCTCACCTCCTCCAAGCTGCCCGTCTTCTAGGCCTGCCCCTGCCCCGCTCGGGGACAGGCACACAGGGACACTTGTGCTCTCCGTGCCTCGTGCCCAGACCAGTGCCAGAGGGATCCCTGGTCCCCTCGTCCCAGCAAGCTGCTAAGGATCCGTGCTCAGCCCTCCCGGCCTGCCCTGCCGTGCCCTGGGCAGGGACAGACTGCAGATCAAGAGATCTATTACTGGTTTTTTAATAGATGCACTTGAGCCTTACTTTGCCCACGCCTGGAAGCAGATGATGTTCCTTTGGCAGTGGTTCTGGACAGGCTGGATCTGTGCTGAGGGGGTGTTTTCCACAGCCAGGGTGGCTCTGAGGACAAGGTCGTGGTGCTCTGATTGCCCCATGCCACGTGCCACCTCGAGGTGGGGGAGCTGTGCCTGCAATGGGTCTGCAAACAAGACTGAGGGAAGAGGAAATAACTCTGGAAATCAGCTCCTGCCCTAAGAGCTTCATCAAGCCAATGAAATAAGTTAAAATGCTAATTCAACACGAAATAGTTTTGCAATAGTTTTGCACATAGAAGAAAAACTCTTGCAAAAGAATGGAATCTGTTCTGAATTGTCCTGCTCAGAGAAGGAAGCAGCCAGTCATGGTCATCCTGAGAAGCCTCACAGCTGACTTTGGTACTAAGGTCCCTGCAGCCCAGGAGGTGGAGAGTGTGGAAGCACAGCCTTGGGGCTGGCAAAGGCTGAGGGACATTATCCGTCTGCATCCCATCGGAAGCTGTCGTGCAAGAGATGCACTATCAAGAGGAAACTGAGCATATACAGTTTTTCTTGCTGATTTGGGGTTTAATTTTGTTTTTATTGCTCCTGAGAAAATGCATTTATTGTAAGCCAAGGTTCCTCTGATTATCTTATTTTAATAAAATAAATTAAATTTTAGGTGTATGATTCCATGTCATCATTTAATGCACTACTCCATAGTTCTGACTGCTACATCTAGACTTGGAAAACTCAGAAAATGATATTCTGAGTACTTTTTAAGAGAGTTACTATGACAGGTAATAGTGCAAGTAAAAACACACTTGATACAACAACCTCTCTTTCCCATCACTCCCATGACAGGACAATTCTTACTGTAATAATCCTTCAGCAGCATCTACTCAAACCCACACTGATGCCTCTCAAGCTGTTTCACTGCACCAGTTTTGCTGTTTTCTCTTGTTTCTGTAGGGGGAAATGAGGGTTTTGTCTTGGCTGAACTCCCTGGATGACAGAAATAGGTGCTTTAATCTAAAAATTGGGTTTTTTTAAAATAGCACTCTGTTTAAATATGTTTATTAGGGCAAGGATGGAAACCCAGATGGTTGGAATGGAAGTTTGGGATTTTGCCTTTCTCCGTGTGCACAGGGGAGTGGGGGCCCTGTCTGAGCAGGAGCAGTGAGTGGTGACTCAGAGGCTGTCACCTCCACCCCAAATGGTGTCAGTGGGGACAGCTGCTGTGTCCAGCTCTTCTCTGTAATGACCAGACAGACACTGCAGGTTCTTGTGTGCAGCAGCAAAACCCCACAAAGTGCTTCTGAAAGTGGGACTTGAGCCAGACACAGACTTAGAAATAATATCTACACTGTCTGGACTTATGTGGCCAGTCTTTGCGAACAAAGATTTTGGGAAAGGGCTTTTACCCTTCGAGCCTGCGCAGTGGATTTTTTAGGTGAGACACAGTGTTTGCTGAACTGAGCCCACCCTTTAATCCTGGGGCTGAGCAAGCTCGGACGGTGGCAGCGAGGTCCTCAGGACGTAGGTTTGTTTAGAGTGACCTTCTCTTAGATGGATGGCCTTACAGGGCTGAACGAGCTCCATCTGCCCGGAGGAGTTCCCTGACCGGGAATCGAACCCGGGCCGCGGCGGTGAGAGCGCCGCATCCTGACCACTAGACCACCAGGGGACTTAGAACATTCCATAATGTAACAAGAAAGGTGGAATATTGATCCTTAGAGTGACCATAAACTTTGCTTGCTAAAAAGTAAACTGAGACTTGAGGGAAACTGCTCCAAATGGTTCTGCATGGGTTTTAATAATACTCTTGGTATTTTAACTGCAACTCTCTCTAATGTAATTTATCGGTAATTTTAACTTCATTATCAAAAGCTTAAAGAGGGGGAAGAAAAAACCCACCAGAAATGCTTGAGCTGCTTTTTACTTTAGCTCTAATTTCCCAAAAGAAACCATTAACTCTTGATTTTTAACAGATTCTGTGACTCTTAAAACATTTAAATATACTTGATAAATAGGCTTATTTTAAGTAGCACTTGATGTCCAATTAAATGAAAGCTCCTAATTTAGAAACTCCAGACCTTTTAAATCTTACTGCTCTTTAATTTAAACTTCTGTCTATGTTGTCCCCAGGTAGCTTTGGAAGACAAGTTGCCTTCTTAATTTCAGGTCACTGCTCTCGGGGCAAAGTCAATCAGGAATGTCTTGTTTAAGGTAAAGAACATCCTTTCCATTGACTTTTTGGATGTATTTTATTTCTTTGTGGAAAAAATATGTACAGGAGCACCTAGAAACAAATTTCAGTGGGAGGGTAAGGGCTGTTGTGAGTATTTTGAAGTAGAAAGTATGTTTGGGCAGGTGCTCTTGAACATTCATCTTATTGTATGACATCTCAGTGATGATTTTCCTTCATCTTTGTAATTAGTGATGACCAGTTGTACTAACAGGACTTCAGTGAGACCTTTGCTGTGCCTCCATGGGCCAGTTTTGTAAAGCAGCTGAGAATTGGTGTTTGTTACAGACACAAGGCAAGGCCTGACTCTGCAGTAAGTACTGCTAGAAATTAACTCCAGGGGGAAATATATCTGGGCAAGTTCCATTTCCCAGGTCAGAACAGAGAGCAAACCTGGCATGTTCAGTCCGGGGGAAGTGTTGGGCACAGAGAGGGCAGTTCTCCCGTACACAGGTGCTGGGCTGCCATCCAGGACCTTCTCAGCTCCACTTCTGACCCAGAAAAGCCAACCAGCAGTGGATAATCCTGGGGTCACTAACCGGGTACCACTGGCACGTGTTTGAATCACAGATTAAGGTTCCTCCCTTTTGCCTCACACCCAGGGGAGGTACCTGGGTGTTCCCACCTAACCCTGAAGGAACATTATCCACTGACCTTGGTGTTCCGTGGCTCTTCCCCTCCCCTGATGGATCAGGAATGTCACCATCACTGACCCATGGACATGCAAACTGCACCAACCAAACCTCAGCGCTGGATCCACATGGGGTGAGATCTTTCTACTTTGATGTTTCCTTTCTCTTTCTTTCTTTCCTTTATACACTTTCAGAAGTGTTATTGTTATGCCTTTATGTTGCTATATTAATATAGATAATAACCAAACTGACTCCATCACTGCTTTCCACTTTAACGGAATCGTTCTAAAATAAACCCTACATATATATATATATATATATATATGTGCATACACACACACATATATATTTACAGACGCTGTTCGTTCATTGTGGTTTCACTCTAATCCCAAGGGATGTATTTAGAGAACCTGAGCTCCCCTCCCCTGCAGGGCTGGTAACAGCTCAGGTGTGTTCATGCTGTGACTCAGCAGCCACTTCACCTGTGTCCAGACACAATTCTTAGTTTAACTGCAAAGTTCATGCAAATGACTGAGCAGAATCAACTTTGTGTATCAAATTTCACAATCTAACTCCCTTTGCAGCACAAACATGAATGCCATTTTTAACAAAACCAGAATTCAGTAAACTCTGTTCACTCAGCAGAGATGTGCCTAAATCCCTCACCCCTGCTGTGCCTCCGACATCGCTGGTCTTGCTCTGGAAAAGGCAGATGGAGACAGAGAGCAGCTGCAGAGCCACTCCCAGTTCTGGGGCAGGACGGTGGATCTGATTACTGACAATGCCTTTCTCTCATGCTGCAGTTTCCAAGCTCCAGTTTGCGCTGTAAGTTCAATTTAGCTCTGCCTTGTGACACCAGTGTTGCTCTGCTCGAGTTTCTGAATCAGTGCAGCTGCATTTGCTTTACAGCAGCTGCTCCAAGAGCCACTTCTTGCCTCCCTGCACTTCAGTTTGCATAAAACAAGGGTGGGAACCCAACTGGGAGTGTCTGGGAGAGCCAGGCCTTGTCCAGCCCCACTCCCAAGACATCCACCCCAAGAGTGCAGTAAACTTTATCCTGAACTCTAGGTACTGTCTGAGGTACAATGTGTAAGGTCTTAAATCTCAGGTCTCCTTTTTAAGGAGAAAAATGTACACTAACCATTGTTCCCAGTGGGTTTTGTAGTTATACATTTAGTTGATTTAGTGTAGAAAACAAAAAAAAGCACCCAAACTCTATTTAGCAACAGTTTTTACCAGCTTAAGCTTTACCTGGCACTGTATTTACACTACCACTCAGCTCACAAGACAGCATATGTTGGGCCAGAGAGGGAGAAAACCCTCTTGTGATTAAGGGATTTTTTTTTTCCATGCAGTCAATTTATTTTTTTTAAATATATTTTAGTATTTTTGTTGCCATACAAAAACTATCTGAAAACTTCACCGGGACTGCACAGTAAACCACAGGGCACTTTTGTTCTACCTGTGCTGCAGAGGGTAAAGGCAAGGCTAATCAATAGCTGCACTGCTGTGGGTGGAGGGCTGTGCTGCGTTCACTGGGCAGCAGTGGGGTCCTCCTCAGCCCCCGAGAGGTGCATGAACAGCTCCCCCAGCTCCGTGACCTGGTCCGTGTCCGGCGCCGCCCGGCTCTCCCTGTCCTCGATAAAGTCCCACAGACGCACCGAGTTGAAGAACTGCAACAGAGAGAGATGTGCCTGAGCAGGAACCAGCCCCAGAGCTGAACTCTGCCCTGGCAGCCCTTCCTCAGCAGAACAGCCCTGAGTTGGGACTGCAGAGCTGGGTTTGTGTGGTGAGCTCAGGGTGACGACCCCTCTCTGCACGAAGGGGGGAGTGGACACAGCCAGCACCAAATGCAGGCCAGGACGAGTTTCTGAGGAGGCTTTAAACCTTTTTAGCTGCCCTTAGGGCTAGCTCTGTGCAGGCACATGACATGAGCTTTTAGCAGTGTGGCTGAAAGCTGTAAGGGCAGAATTGCTGCGAGGAAAGGTGTGCCCTGAGAAGGACTAGCTGAAAAAATAGAGCAAATATTTTGCTGTTAAATGAGGTGCATTTTCCTTCCCCTAAGAACAAACCTTTGCCCCAAGGGGCATTGAGAGGTGCTTTTTCCGCTTGTCCTGCAGGGCACAGCACATTCCCAGCAGCCCCTGCTCCCCGCAGAGGGTGCCAGAGCAGTGCCCCAGCGTTGCTCACCCGCACTGTGCCCTCGGAGCTCAGCTGCTTGCGGGGTTTCTCGGGCTCGGCGCGGGTGCCGTCGGGGTACGCGTGGAGGTACAGACACTTCCCGCCAAAGGGGCACGTCCCCTTCCCTTGCTCAAAGTACTTGCAGGGCTTTTTCCTGATTCAATGAGAAGAGAGAGTTACTGCCTCCAGCTGGGGAGGAAGGAGCTGCAGTTCAGTCCCCAGGCTCAGCCTTAGTGATGCTTCAGTTCTCACACCCAGAGCTTTGGCCTCCCCTTCCCTCAGAGCAGCCAAAACAGAGGGCAGAGATCACTGAAAGCAAACAAACACATAAAAAACCAGCATCATAAATCAAACAGACAGTTTCCTTTTAAGCTGTGGAAGTGAAGGATGTTCAAAGTGCACCACAATGGGCCAATCCATTGCTGTTTTTCTAGGATATCTTTTCTCCTGCCTTTTCTATCACTATATTTTTAAGAACCAGTTCCCCTCCTCGTCTCCTTTGACAATTCTTTGTTAATTTATGTTTCCTCATCTTTGTTGTTCAGCCAAGGTGTCCAGGCTGCACAGCAACTTGTCACAGGGTTGATCTTTGCACAGTTTGTACAACAGTACCTGGGGGGGGTTGGATTGTTCTACAATGAACACAGCTGAAGAGGAAACTACAGGGAAAATGCAACGGAACTTGTTAATATGAAAATAGTGATGGAACTGATTCCTAAGACATAGATACAGTCTATCCAATAGCAACTACATGGAGCACAAAGATCAACCCTAACAAACAGAATACCCAAACACTCAAACAGGTTTTTCCAAACTTCCAGGTTTCTTGGTCTGACTTTTTTCATCCTGTGTTGGCCTGACTCCAGCTCTTGGCTTAGACTCCACTTCAGCAGCATCTTATTAGCATTTTTTCATTCCACCAACACCAAATCCTCAAATTAAACTAACTGCCAAGAGCTCTATCCATAGAATTTCTGTACCAAAGACATTTTACCCATAACCTGTAATATATTAGTCTTAGCTGAGCACTTCAGCAAAGCCTCTTTTTACACCCTCTCCTATACAACGGTTGACAAGAGTCAAACTTGACTTCCAAGACCACCTACACCTCTATGCAGTGGCACAAAGGCTGACCCTGCTGGGAACAGGGCTGTTTAAAAACTGTGCTGAGGCTCTGGAGCACAACTGACCACCTCAATCCAAAGTCTTTAGGAGCTAAAATAAACCAAACCAGTGATGGGGGATTGAAAACAACCCCTATCTGAAGAACTGCAGTTTAAGTGCTTAATTTCATTGAAATATTTTGCCTACTAGAAGACAAGATGCTGGGATAAGTCTTTCATGGAGCAGCACTGCTTTCAACTCTTCTGCTGAGCTCTACAGGTCTTCAAGCAGCTGAGAAGCTGCAGCCACAGTAAGATGGGTCTAAATAAGGCCCATTTTTTTCCTGTACTCCTATTTAAAGGTGGATGCATATCACAGAATAAAGCTGCAAACCATCAGCAAAACAGACCAAGCTCACTGGGGTCAGGCCCAGCTCTGCCTGGTCACCCTAAAAACAGGGAGCAGGAGATAAGAAATGGTATCTCCCTGCTCTGTGAACCACAAAGCCCTCACACATCCCAGGCAAGCACAGCTCTGCAGAGCTGCTCCAGCACTGCCCTCTCCCCATGCTCCCAGTATCCCTGTTGGACAATATAAGGAATGCAGTCCTGGAGTATCTGCCATTTCCAGCAGACATTACAAAAGCTCCATGACTTTTTATCCCATATTGCAGGAGACTATTACATTTTCCTTCCCTGTTTGTTCTCAGTAACAGTCCAGGCAATTGTGTCTGAGGGATAAACAGAAGCCACGTAAAGCCAGTTCTGGCAAGTGAGCTGAAATAGCTTCAACACTTCAGAGCACAGTGAGGTTGAATAATTTCTGATCTACAATTACAGGCCAGACCCTTTCATGGCAGCCACAAAGTTAAGCAGAGGAGTGAGCAGAGATCAGGAGTTCTCTGGACAATGGGCTGGAATTACATGAAGTTCAGAAATGCAGGCTCAGTGACTGACTGACCCTTGGTGCATCTAAAGAACAACACACAGTGTGTTACTGAACTTACCCCACTCCCTGCTTAAAGGCTTCAATCAGCTCATTCTTCTTCTCCTGCTCCTCCACCCAGTACACACTGGGGATGACAAACTCGGAGATCACTCGGCACTCGGGGCACGACCTGAACAAAACAGTGGTGCCTGTTACCTCTGCTGCTCCCAGGAGGGACACCCTCCCAGGAGGGACACCCTCCCTACACGTGCCAGCAGCAGCGTTTTCCGAGGGAAGGGGCTGGTCTGTCACTCTGAGGCAGCAGCTCCTCCTCCCATGTTAGCACAGCACACTTTGGGGTGCACTGCTTTGGAGTTTCACTTGAAATCATCCAGCTCAGTGCAGTCAGGGCTCCTGTTTGGTTCTGGACTTGAACAAAAGCAACAGGTATTTCCTCAACGCACAGAAACCTGTATTTGCCAATCCCAGCAGATCAGCAGAAACAAACTGTCACTGCTCTGTGAGTGCTGCAGCCCCCCTGCAGCAGGAAGCCAAACCAGAGGAGAAACACAAATGAAGGTGTCTCAGCCTTTGGAAATGCAATGAGCTGACGTTCACTTCAACGAAAGTTGTAATAAAAGTTGTGGAGAAAAGTCTATTTTGGCAGAAGAATGAAAATATTTCCCATCTTTTCCTCAGCGTGTTTGTAACTTAAGAGAGAGATATGCTCAAAAAAGGAAACTGATTGGATGTTTTAAATTCTCTCACCTGAGGAGGAACATGTTTGGAACACATTTTTTATTGAGCTAGAAGATGAAGGCATATACTCAGACACAGATAAAGGTGTGATTAGTGGGACCTTTACCTGGAGTAAGCCACAATTTAGAGAAAAGTCCCATAATGAAGCACCTACACAGGAAAAGGAGTTGCTGTTCTTGCACACAGGTCACTGTGAGGGGCAGAGGTTAACGAGGTCCCAGCTGCTCCAGAGCCCCCGTGTCTGCACTCTGCCCCAACAACATGGACAGGACCAAACTTTTCTCACATAGAGCCAGAGCATTAAGTGAACTGTTACCCAAGGACACCCCAAGTGTCCTGCTGCTCTTGGAGACAGCTCTTATAGCCAAGTCCTGGGACTGGCCAGGCCAGCCCTTGAGCTCTCTGCTCATATTTCCAGCTCCAGAATCCCTGCTCAGCAGTTTTCTTTGAAAGCCCCTCAGTGGCAGGGCCCAGGAGAACACTCACTTGATGATGGGGTTCTCAAACTGCTTGGCACACCTCCACTGCCGGATGCAGGACAGGCAGTAGGTGTGGGTGCAGTTGGACAGGATCCCAAACCTCCTCTCCGAGGCCGATGGTTTCTCGTACACCACCTCCATGCAGATGGAACACACCTTGTCCTGGCTGGCCTGGAAGGCAAAGGCCTTCTCCATGTCGTGCTCAAACGTGGCCATGCACATCTGTGGGGGACAGAGGTCAGTGTCAGTGCACTCCCTGCCAGGCTGGGACAGAAGTGTCTGAGGAAAGGGTCTGTGACAGCAAAAACACACAACACTCACTAAGGGCATCACTCCTACCCATCATCATTTCATTTCAAGAACATTAAATCCAATCACTTATTTCAGCCTTCAATGTTCTCTGCAGCTTCAGAACTGTCAGAAATAAGGATGCCTGAGCACTCTTCATTTACCCCTTTCTGTATCTCTCATGGAACAGGTATCGAATCATTTAATGCTTCAAACACCTCGAAAAAACATCACATTGAGGGTCCAGAACAAGTGCCACACTCAGGTTGTTACTCTGATTATTATTAAGGCCACATTCGCTCACTGGATATTAAGTTTTAGGCAGCTAAGGCATTAGGCTCTTATTTCAGGCTTTCCTCCAGCACTTCTCGTCCCCACGGTGACAATCCATAACCACAAGGTGAGCTGCTGCTCATACCTGCACAGTTTTACCTCTTTACTTTTCAAAGGTCTTAGGGCTTGAAAAGTAATATAAATTTACAAGACTTCAAACTATAATCATAATGACAAAGGACATAAAATAATTCCCCATTAGTAGCACGTCTGACTAGTGCAGCTCCTCATCCAGCACACAGCTCTGCTTCTGAGAGCACCAGTGCCTGGACACTGACCCAGGCACCAAGCAGCTCCTGGGAGGAGGGAGCATTCCTGCAGCAGCACATCTCAAAAGTACACACAGACTGCACAAACCCTGAGCTTTTTAACCCCTTGGATTCTGCTCCTGCTCCTCGCTAGCCCTGATGTAAACCTGGTAGCCAGGAAGAGGAACGAGCAACCCTTCAGCCCATCCTTACCCAGCCAATGCCTCACCAATGCTTGCAAGTTCAGCCCCAAAATCTTTGTGCTCCCTCCCATGTGTCCCCACTTGCCCGTGCCCTGGGTCCAGCCCCAGCCAGGAGCAGGTGCCAAGCTGCCCCGGCAGGGCCATCCCAGAGCACAGCAGCCCCAGTTCCTGTCCCAGTGTCCGTGACGTGCACCGAGGCACCGGCTGACCCGCAACGGGCATTCTGGCAGAGTTTCAGTGTGCTGGGAGAGGGCTGCAGGCCAGTCTCTGACAGGGATGGAACAGGAAAAAACGAGGTGATTCCTGCATCACTGCTCCCAGTTAAGCCCCAGATGCTTGAACACACCACTATTAGAGCCATTCTCTAGCTGGATAAGCAATACAATGGCAGCTCTTTGGGACTGGCTCTGCTACGAAACACTGTAGAGCCAACACCCAGCCCTGCAGTGAGCCAAGCCCCCCAGGGTGCCCTGTCCTTACCATCTCATGGGCCCTCCTCTGCTCGGGGTCGTGGGGGTGCAGCACGTGGAGGCCGCAGATGTCACACAGGTCCCCGTGCAGGTACGGGCAGCGCTCCCCGACGGGGCACGGCCCCCGGGCCGAGTAGGGGCACAGCTGCCCCCCGGCCCCGCAGGGCACCTCGGGCCCGGGCTCTGCCAGCCCACTGCAGATGGCCTCCAAGTACGAGTGGGGCTTCACCTCCAGGCTCTCCGCAGGCTCACTGCAGCTCCCCCCGTCCCCGGGGGCGCCCGGTGGCGGCTTCTCCTCTCCTGAGCCGCACAGATCTGAGGGGACAGACACAGGCACTGCACGGCCCAGGGCACTCCACAGCCTCTCCTTCCCAGGAGCAACAGCTGCGTTTGCTTTTTTAAAGTTTTCTTCTCAATGAAATCTCATCTCTAAGCTCCTTCTGCTCACAAATCACAGGAATGTTCCCAAATTACCTACTGAAAAGTTCAATTGCAAGATTTCTTCAGTTGCTTTCTGTTTACAAATAGACTAAAAAAATCACAGAATCATTTAGGCTGGAAAAGACATGTGAGACCATGCAGTCCACCCTGTGCCCGATGCCCACCTTGTCCCCCAGCCCAGAGCACTGAGTGCCACGTCCAGTCCCTCCTTGGACACCTCCAGGGATGGGGACTCCACCACCTCCCTGGGCAGCCCCTGCCAATGCCTGACCACCCCTTCCAGGAAGAAATTCCTCCTGATGTCCAACCTGACCCTCCCGAGGAGGCCGTTTCCTCTTGTCCTGTTGCTGATTGTCTGGGAGCAGAGCCCGACCCCCCCTGGCTCCACCCTCCCGTCAGGGTGGACAAAATCCCTCAGGGAGCTCAAAGCCAGTCCCTCCACAGGCCACTGGAAGGGAGGACAGGCACGAGTGTTCCGAGGTAGGAGACTCCATCGGGCAGGAATTCTCTGTAGCTGGCCATGGAACTCAAATAATCAAAGGAGGACACCCCCCCCCCCTGCCGCCCAGCCCCAAGGACAAGCACGGCGCCCTCCCACTCACTCCTGTCCCTGAGCACCAGCGTCCTCTTCTCCCTCCTGCTCCGGGTGCCGGGGCCGTGCTCCGGGGGCTGCCGGGGGCTCAGGGGGGCAGCGGGGGGCAGCGGGGCCGCGGCCCCGCTCGGGGCCGGGAGCTTCACGTGGTCGTACCTGGGACAGAAAAGGGGGTCACAGCCAGCACAGGCGCTGGGGACGAGCACAAGGGCAGCTCAGGACAGTGTCCAAGGGGCTGAGCCTCCGGCAGGGTCCCGGCCGCGTGTGTCCCACTCCAGGGGCACCGCTGGGCCCGCACTGGCCGTGGCGGGTGGATCTTGTCACCCCCACACCTCCCCACTCCCCAGGCAAGCAGCACTGGCCCTGTGCAGGAAGGAGCCACAGTTCAGCACCTCCTGCAGGCAGCAGCACCCAGACCTTGTGCTTCCCCACCACGGGAGAGGATGCGGAATCTCCACACAGGAGATAAAGGGCTTCTGAGTTCCTGAAGGACTCAAAACGTCCAGTAAAACTATGGAAACACCCTCCAGCAGCAGAGCAGGAGCACCCCGGGCAGTAAAGGGGATGGTCCAGTAAAGCCATGGCCATACCCAAATGCTACAATATTTTTCATGGGAACAAAAATATTGCCCATCTCTGATTCTGGTGCTGTGCTGAGGACCTGCAATGCCCACAGATACTAAGTGCCCAAACTCCAGCAAAACAGCTGGATCAGAACCAACCCCACTTTGCAGCCTTTTGAGTGACACAGCCCCCAGCCAGATCCCACACAATTCCAGGGCAGCTGATGGGAGCTGTGGGAATCACTGGTGTCCAACCCCCTGATCCAGTCTGGCACATGAACCAGGCAAAGGGAGGGAACTCTACAGAGAGATCCCTCTCCCAGGTGCAGGTACCTCTGGGAAGGAGCGGGGCACATCCCTGCTGTACCAATGTACCAACATCAGCCCCTGCACTGTATTTCCCAGAGCATTCCTCAGGGAGTTTTAACACAAAGGCTCCAGGGAAAGGTGTGGAACTGCTCAGCTTTCCAAGGGGGCACAAGGAGGGGGCTGTGCCGAGGCAGAGCTGGAATCCCAGGAATTGTAACTGGGATGTACGTGGAGGCGGCTCGAGGACAGCAGCTCCCAGGCTCTCCAGGGACATGGAGCCAGCCCTGCTGCCAGAGGCCATTCCATGTGCAGCTGCAGCCCTGCTTTGGGCATCCAACAGCTCTTCCTGCGGGGAGACCTGGATGAAAAACACACCTGAAACCTCAAGTTTCACTTCTACAGAGTAAAACAATTGCTGAAGCCACACCAGAGCAGAACTGTACTGCTGGATCCAAAAGCTGGTTGTGGCTGTGGCAAAGCTCGCGTTCAGTGACTGGTTTAACTCTCCTCGTGCTCCTGTCCCCGCTGTGCCCCCCAGGGTGTGGGGTGGGCGGGAGCGGTGCAGGGAACCCGCCGTGCCGTGTTACCTGCAGCGGGAGCCGTAGGCGCACTGCCCCCGCTGGTAGTACTTGCAGACGGTGGAGGACTTGCTGGTGGACAGATCGTGTGAGAACAGGCACTTGCTCCCCTCCCGACACACTCCCTGCAGGAAATACCTGTGGGGGAGGAGACGGCTCAGGGCGGGCCCTGCTGTAGGGACAACACAGAGCACCCTGGTTTGGTTAGGTTTGGTTTTCCTAACAAGATCACGGAGGTCTGAAAAGCCAGCGAGTGCCCCCTGTGCCCGATCCCCGCCTTGTCCCCCAGCCCAGGGCACTGAGTGCCTTGGACACCTCCAGGGCTGCGGGCTCCAAACCCCCTTGGGCAGCCCCTGCTAATGCCGGGCCACTCTTTCTGTGGAGAAACCCCCCGGTCACTCGGACGGGCCTTCCTGCCCCAACCTCGCTGCTTTCCCGGTACCACGCCGGGGGAGGCGGGACTGGGCCAGGGGTGAGGGGGTGTGAGGGGCGAGCCGGGGGGGGTGAGGGGAGTGAGGAGAGTAAAGGGACGTGTTGGGTTGTGAGCGAGTTCCAGGGGGGTGTGGGGGAGTGTCGGGGGGTGAGGGGGGTTCGAGGAGGTGAAGAGTGTTTTAGGGGTGTGGGGGGAGCGAAGTTGTGAGGGGAGTGTGGGTGTGTGAGGGGCTGAGGGGGTGCTCTGAGGGGGACCCGGGGGGTGTCCGGCCGGGCCGGGCCGGGCTGGGGAGGCTCAGTGCCGCGCGGGGGCTCCGTCCGGGCCGTGTCCGCGTGTCTGTCCGCGTGTCCGTGCCTGTCTGTCCGTCCCCCCTCTCACCTGCACGTCACCTGCTTGGTGCTCATGGTGCCGCCGCTCTGTCCACCCGGCTGGCTCCCCGCGCCGCGCACGCGGGTTCCGCGGGGCGGGGGGCGTGGCTGTTGCCCGGCCCCGCCGCCACTGGGCGGTTGTTCCCGCCCGGACGCTTTAGGCGGAGGCGCGGGGCGATGGCGCTGCTGCGCGTGCGCCACTGCCGCGCGCTCCTGTACTGCCGGCGCGCGCCCCCGCAATGCCCCGCGTGCGGGGGGGCCTTGGGGGTCGGCGGGCTGCCCTCGGCGCCAGTCCGGCTGAACTGCCCCTTCCGGCACGGACACGGACAGCCCCGCGCCTTCCTCGTCAGGCCCACCCGAGGGTCATTCCTGCGGTGACCGCCAGGGGGCGCCAGGGAGCTGGGGGGAAAGGCCGGGGGAAGGTCGGGGAATGGGAATGGAATGGGAATGGAATGGGAATGGAATGGGAATGGAATAGAATGGGCAGGGAATGGGCAAGGCAGGGTATGGGAATGGGCAGGGAATGGGCAGGGCTGACCCCTCCGGAGCGGAGTTGCCGTGCCGGGGTGTCCCTGCAGCCCTGCCCCCCACCCGCATGCTGGGATGTTCCCGAGGGACGAGCCCTGATCCAACACTCTGCTCCTGTTCCAGGGGGTACGACGGGAGCTCCGACCTGCACGTGGGGATCACTGACTCCCGGGGTAAGGACACCGTGTGCCCAGAGCCGCCCCCTCACCCCCTGTGCTCCTGGGGCCGGCCCAGCTCGGAGCATCCCGGGCCTGGCACAGCTTTGCTGAGAAGCCCTGGGGGGGCTGCAGGGACCAGAGCTGGGAGCTCTGCTGGGCTCCTCCAGGAGAGGGTCACGGAGACCCTGGAAACATCCCGAGGCCAAGTATCTATCCCACCTTGCAGCAGACACAGCTCCAGTGAAAGTCATATCCCACATTCCACATGGCACTGGATGGAATGGACAGGTGCCTTCCACCCCGACACAGGGAAAGGAAAAGCCAGGCCTACTTTAAAGAAGTTACAATGAATTAAATATGGTTTTTGGTAGTTCTAAAAATACCCCTAATTAAAAACAAACATTTTAAAAGCCACGTTAAAAATCCTACTGGGTTATCCGCAGAGTAGGCCCAGCCTGCAAAATGTCACCTCAGGTGTTTAATTAATATAAAGATGGTCTAATTTGGGGGTTAAAAATGAAGTCTGGTTGTGCTTAAGTTGCTCTTGTTACCAAAAGGCACCTGAAACTCAGAGCAGGTTTTTGGTGGAAGCCGGGCCTGCAGTTCCTACTGGGCACTGATGGGAAGCTGTGGTGTAACCAGCCTAAGAAAGAACAGGATTATGGAAAACTCATAGCTTTCATCCCAAAACATAACCCCCCAAAAGGCTGTTTGTGCAGTGCCAGCCTGTTATGTGTTGCAGGGGTGGTGTACAACTATGACCAGGAGGGTGTACACAGGGCCCACTCGGGGTGGGAGCAGTGCATCTGCATCCCCCTGGTCCAGCCACACATGGTGGAGCTCCTGCAGCAGTGGGATAACCTCCTGGAGGAATTTTCCGAGGGAGAGGCCTGGCTTCCTCACAGGTATGTGGCTTGAAATGTGGGTGTAATGGAGTTTTTAGTCTGGGATGATAAATGGGGCTGGACCCCGGGGGGCTTGTGGGTCATCCAGAGCCTTGTGCTCCTTCAGAACACACATTTCCAAGGCTGGACAACCCTGTCAGCCTGTCCTGAACCTCCCTGGCCTGGCTAAACACAGCATTCTTCAGTTTTAAGTACAAACTTATGTGCTGGAACATGAAAGCTCTAAAACGAGTTTATTTCAGGGAATTTTGCACGAAACCCCCAGTTTAATGAAACATCACCTACCTGCTGCTCAGTACAAAGGGCCAGGTGCCATTCTGGGATTATTTTTCAAGGTTTCTGCAGTTTTAGGTGTATTTGCATTTAAAGGCTGACCAGGCTGGGATTCTTGCCCAGATCTGACACCCAGGTGACATTCTGGTTGTCAGTGGTGAGAAATGGGCAGCAGGCTCATTTCCAGCTCTTCCACCTGGTCCATAACATTGCTCTGGATGGGTAAATACAGAAAGGCGTCCTCACCCTTTGAACTCAGCTGGTGTGTCCCACCAATATGCAGCCCTGAAGTGAATGCCCAGGTCAGACATGCCCTGTCACATCCCCACACTGCAGCTCTCCAGGGAAAGCCCTGGGACTGTCCCTGGGAACAGCCCAAGTAACACACAGCCTGCCTGGGGGTGTGTCACTTCACAGAGCCATAATAGAAAAGAAAACCCCCCCACCAAATCAAAAGCATTTTTTAGCCATTCTGTACATGCTGACTATAAATTTCAGACCTCATCCATCATCTCCCCAGACCAGGAGATGGAAGACTTTGATTTGGAATAGAATTTTTAGATGTAAAAATTCTTTTACATCTAAAGAATGGACTTGTAAAACCAACAGGATTTGTGTTACTTTTACAATTCCCAGTGCCTTAACAGGAATACTAAAATTGGCTTGGTGTCAAAAAACCTCACTGGCAGAAGGCAGACAGATGTTTTCATCTCTTCTATGAGCTTTTCTTCACTTTTCTACCATCTCCTGACACAGTGACCTACTTTTTCCACAACTAGACCAGTAACCACTGAACTGCTGAAAACTCTTTTAATTAACTCCTCTGGTTTTCAATGGACAGGAACTGCACTAAACTAATCCTGTAACAACTCTGGGTTCAGGCTGAGCCTAGTTCTGATTTTCTTGATTGCTTGTCATTTACTGGAGGACAGTGTAGAGCAGCTGCAAAGAACTGCAGCCACAGCCAGGACCAACAGCACCTGCAGTGACTGAGAGGAGCTGGCTCTCTTGTCTGGATCCAAAGACACTCTTCCCAAAAAGGAGGAGCTGAGCTTTGTTACTGAACAGGAGCTCACAGGTCACTTCAGGTGCCCTGAAACCAGGAGAGCTTTGAAGAGAAGAGTGAGCTCTGCTGAGCTGGGCTCAAGGTCACTTTTCATAGCCACAGTCCTCAGATCTTGCAGAAACCCCCAGGGCTGACAGGGAATCCTCCCAGAGACTCTGTGTGACAGCACAGACCATGGAGCCACTGAGAGCACGAGGCAAGGAATGGGTCACAGGGCTGGGGAGAACAAGGGACAGGGGGCCAGGCACTTAGAGGAGCAGCCTGAGGGTGAGGCAGGTGGCAAACAGGAGTCTGAGCAAATGCAGTTACACAGGGACAGGGGGAAACGCAGCACAGTGTGGTGAGAGAGTGGAGTAAATGCAATCATTGAAGCTGTTAGTGGACAACATGAAACATTTGGGAGAACACAAGGAACATTCTGACAGTGACCAGATAAGTGCTGTAGTGTCCTAGGACAGGGTAGCAGGTAGGTTAAAAAAAGAGGAAAAAAAGGCAAAAGCATTTTAAATGGCTGTCACTCCTGTTCCATTAGCATTTCTATCCTTGCACAGTTGGCACAGATCACTGCCAGTGGGGTTTGACTGGCACATTGTCCAACAACTGTATCAGCACATCAGCGATGGAAGGCACTGGGTTTGAAGGAGCTTCCACGTTACCACCACATGTGGGGCCTCACAATTAACATTGGGGCTGCAGGAAGGAGTTTGGAACAATACAGGGAAGAGCAAAGGTTTAACAAGAGCCAAGTCAGTCTAGAAAATAAGAATGCATTACTGCCACGTCTTGCAGCCTCTTAGTTTTTATGCCTAGAGTTCCTGGGCTGGAAAGTACAGCTGGTGATGAACGGAATATATTTAACCATAAGCATGAAGGGAAGCTGGGGATGGTTCCTGGGGAGTTCTTGGCTCAGTGGTAACTCTTCCTAAGGAGGTGTTTTCCCCAGGTATGACGAGCAGGAGCACAACTGCTACACATTTGCCCTGGCCTTCATCAACCACGTCCTGAGCAGGCAGGGGAAAGAGCCCCTGAGCAAGGGGGAGTTCACAGAGAGGTTCGTGCTCCCCCAGAGCAGAAGAGCCTCCAGGTACCTCACCCTGCACCAGGAGCTGGCACACAGGGACTGCTACATCGTGCCCCTGCCCGAGGAGGGACAGAGCAGCAGTGCTGAGCATGATGAGCTGCTGTACTGAATCAGCTGCAGCAGGAAACAGGGAAAAGCCTTAAGGCTCCAGATCTCAGGGGTTAAGGTGCAGGATCTAATTAGTTAAAAACACAGTTAATTTTAACCTGAAGGATACTGACCTTGTTCATTTGAGTGAAATGATGTATCTATGATGTACACACTACAGAGAGTTTCTGTGGCAACTATTCATATGCAAAAATGTTTTCTTATTTACATTCACTGTGTGCTCTGCAAGGACACTTCCTACCAGAAATCAAAACTGCTGTGTAATTAAGGGTTTTAGAAAATGAACTATGGTATCTTCAGCCATAGGAAACCAAAATGTTTTTTTTCTGTCACATTTGATTATTGACAAATGAAAAAAGGGAATATGCGCTTCTATGCTGCTGAAATCCAAATGCAGATTCACTACCTGCAAAGTTATTTTCCTCTGATTACTAATAAATACAACAACAAAGAAATCTAGCCTCTTTGCCAGATATATTTAGTTTTCAATTTACATTTTGCATGTTTATTCTTCAAACCAAGACAGATGCTTAGTATTAAGAGATATTTTAGTGTCTTATCTGTTAGTAGTTGTAATAATCAACAGACTCCTCAGAATTTATCTTGGAGTTAAAACTACAGAATTAAAAAAAAATTTGAGTTAAAATGACAAAGTTCCTCCAACAGCACTTTTACCTGTTGTGCATTACACAGAATGTATGCTGAGCTCAAAACTGGGCAGTCCAGAACTTTGTGGAATTTCACTTCACTTACATTCTAGTTTAAGAAAATAATTTCAGCTTTTTTCCCTTCTAATTTTTTATGAAGTAAGCTGGTTTTGGTCTAGCTGCAAGTCTTGTTTTCTCAGAGATGGAGAAGCGTTCATGAATGTTTGGGGGTTTGTTTACCCTTTTGTACACAGACCCCATTAACCCTGTCCCCCCATGCTCTCCAGCTGCACACACCACAGACACCACACTTCGCACGCCTCCCCCTCCGTGTTCTTCCACTTCTTGCCAAACTTAAAACACCCACAGCACAAGTAGGGACAACCAGCTTGAAATGCACTGTCCTGCTGCTGTTGGAGACCTGTCCACCCCCTCCCAGTGCACAGCACAATCCCTCAGCCAGGATTTGGCTTACAAACAAATCCTGGTGTGCTGTTTCTGAGGCAGAATCCTCCCTGCATTTAAGTACTATATGTTTGGTGCTAAATTATAAATACGGTGGTAAATGATACAACTAAGTTATTTGATCCACCAGCACCGAAACATGAAGTACAGTCCTCTGCAGCTTGAAATAAAACACCTTGACCCCTACACCTAACACCTCCACACCTGTTCAGCTTGAAAAAGCTTCTGTGCAATTCACATTTCATTTTACATCCTTCCAGTAGGAGTCATATTAAATGAAAGCAAAGACAGGAAGATTTTCCACTTTGAGTTGTATGGAGTTTCCAGTATTTGTGACATGGCTCTACAATCTAAACTGCCCAAATAAACATGATTGTGGGGTTGTGTTTGGTGGGAACAGGTCGAGGTGACACGATTTCTACCAGACAAGGAAAAGGTCCTGTGCCCAGAAGGCAAAGCCCCTTTTACAGGGAGTGAAACCAGCACAAAGTGTGTCACTGCCACCAGCTCTGATGTGTCCTCACTGTTGTAGCAAATGTGTTCTCACAAAACCTGAACAGCATGGGGAAGCAGGGAAGCCTAGATGGAATTCAAATTCCTGAATGAAGCAGCAAGGCTTAAAAGGCAGCACAGTTGATACTGAAACCTCCTGGCTCTGCTTGAAAGCAGCTCAGCACCTGCTGGGTTGGTTGGCTGGTTTGTTTTTCCTAATGTGCCTTAGCACTAGTGAACATCAGCGTTAGGAACCTGCCTTCCAGATGATTAAATCTTGCAAAAAAAAGGTTAGAAAACAGCAGGCACTAGTGTAGCAAATCTCAGCACTGTCCTATTCCTCACTCCATCCAAACTGCACTTTATCCTCATCTGCTATATGACATGATAGGCCAGGACAGAGAGAGCTACCAGTGCAATAGGAACAAAAATAAGTGTATAAACTCTTGTAGGTTCTGGATAAAAGGGAAAAAAACAGTGATGAATGTGAGACTCACACTTGCCAAGCTAGAGGCACTGAGTTCCTCTCACTGGCTCAGCAAAGCTGTGTTATTTTCTGCACAGTAAGTCATCTTCAAGAGAAGAAAGGGCCTCAGCTGGGCTGGGCATCTCGCTGGCACAGGGCAGGATGAGGCCCTTACTTTAAAGGGAAGAAAGACATCTTACCCAGATGGAGAAAGGTGCCCAACACCTCACTTTGCTGTTAGGTGCTTAACCCATAGAATTCACTAAAATCCCTGCACATTCTGGGAAGAGTTCCTCAACTGTGAGCTGTGATTGTGAAAATAAGGCGCTAAATCCCAGGGTCCAGGCACCCAATCACAACATGTTACAGTAATCAATACTGCAACAACCAAATCTCTCCCCAAATCCAAACTCGTGCCATTTCCTCAAGGCTATGAAGTCAGGTTTTGGTTGAGGAAAGTTACCACTGATACTCTACAAGGTTATTTGATTCACTGTAATTACTGCTGGTTTTTAAGCATTAAATTTGAGGACTGTCAAGTTTAAGCCCTCATTTCTGAAGAAATGTAGGACCCTGTGCTGAGCCTTACAATTCCCAACTCTGAACAGGTATTCCCAGAAAACAGTCTAATCCCTCATTGCTCAGGCATTTGGCAGACATTCAGGAGTCAGACCACTCAGCTCTAACGCCTTCACCTGCCAGAGAAGTAAAAATTATTTAATATTAACATTTAAAATAGCAACAAATATTAATATTTAAAAAGTTAAATGTTACTAATTACTGCAGTGTAGCCACCACTCGTTTTATACTTTCATATTTTATTTTTATTTTCTGTTTTGAACTGGAACACAGCTTTAATTTTTCCTCCCCTTCATATGCATCACTATAGCTCAGTTACGTTTTCCAATACAGCACTGTCCCCAGTAAACACAATACACCTCGCTTTAAATAGCATTTACACAAACCAACTGTATGTGTAGACAGGAGCTGTTCTGAGGCAATGGGTCATCATGAGATCAGGTAAAAAACAACAAGAAGCAGTTTTAAAAAAAGTGACTTTTTCCTACGCAGTCAGTTAAGCTTCATCTTGCTCACTGCGCTCGCGGGAAGAAACCCAACGACTGACAATCAGTTCCTGAAATAAAACCAGAATTATTATGGAAAAAAACCCAAAGCTACAGATAATCAGTGAGGGATGGGAATTAGGTCTCTAAAATTGATGTGTATTATGTGACCACTGAGAAATTATAGTAGAGGACTGTGTTTCTTCCTGACATGAGCTGGTCTCACACATATTTCTCCATTTTTGAACAGATATTAACCTTGCAGTCTCCACAGGCACCCCCGTTTCCCCATGCAAACACTTACATTGACAGTAACAGCAACATTAAACTTTAGATCAGAAGATGTGAAGTTTTTAGAGAGCCTGCAATGCCCATCTCATGCCTTGGGGCATGAAGGAATCTAATTATTTTATTGCAGCTGCACTTGAAAAATCCAAATCAAGGCGAAGAGGCAGAGACAGTTCTCCCAAGGAGCTGTGGAGCTGCTCCATGGCAAAGCCACCCATGGCACAGAGAGCAGGTACTACTCACCTGGACCTTGATCCTCTTCATACACTCTGGGCTTGACATCTCCTCTGCAGTCATGTCAGAGGGTTTAATCAAGTAGCAGAGCATCAGCTCCTGTTGGCAACCAGCAAACACACACAGGAATTCAAAGGGATTATGGAAGCACTGTGCTCGAAGCTCTAGCACAGAGGAAAACAAGCTTCTCTGTTCAAAAGAAAATCCTGGTAGATGGAGAAGGCTTTAAAAACAGAAGTGGCATCAGGAAACAAGTGTCCCTCAGGTCTGTCTTCTGTTCCTCACACAGCTTTTAACACTCCTTCAGGCACCAGAACTTTAATAAGCTTTACAGAATTCATCTGTAAAAAGCTTTAATAAGCTTTATAGATATTGACCAAGGAAACTTGTTTCCCCACTGGCAACTAAACGTGTTGTTCAGCAGAAGGATTCTCTTCCCAGCCTCACTCCAACTCCTGCTCCTGGGAGCTCAACTGTCCCGTTATCATGTTAAAGCTGTTTTAAACACTGACCTTGGAAGCATTAGCAGTTGTTCTGTTGAGCCCAGACAGGGACATCCAGCTGAGAGGTCTGCGGAGAGATCCTTGGAAATCATCATCCACCAATTCAGCAAGGACAGAGTAACTGCACAACAGAGCACACAGCACAGTCCACTGAAAGAAATTACCATTTTAGCAAGAAGATTTAAGAACTAGAGGCTAAAAACTGGTGTTAAACAATATGCCAGCATGGAGGCAGCAAATTGTGAAACTCCAGTCTCTTTCTACAAGGAAAAGAGAAGAAACAATGAAGTTGGGAATATGCCCAATGGCACCTGCCATCCCCACCCTGATGTCTGGAGCATTCTCTTATGAATGCCAAGCTGACATTTTTAACTAATTTATTTTACCTCACTTGCTAATGAATAAAGACAATTATCATCCCTTTAAAATTTCTTCTCCTGTGGTAGTTTGGTCCGGGCCTTCCTTGGTGACCAGTTTGTAACCAAGGAAGGGCCCAGATTTACCCAGTATTCCCTACGATTTTTACGTAAGCCAGGCTATAAGAAGAAAGGAGGAGAGGCCTTCGCTCTCTTTCCTTCCGGCGGCTTGGAGGTGCAGGTTCCCTGCTGTTGAGTCTGCCCTGTTGGGGAGCGAGGCCTGGTGGGGCCTTGTCCACCTTGGGAGGCGGAGGGTGCCGGCGATCGGTCCAGAGCGACTCTCCGTTGTCCCAAGGAGAGCAGTGAGATATTTCCTTGCTAACTTTTTTTAGTTGCTAGATATTGGGCTACTAATTGGGATATATATATATTTTTTATTTTGGTTTTGTTCCTTTTCCCTTCCCCCTTCCCTTTCCCTTGTGAAATTGTATATATATTTCAACTGTATTTAACTGTAACATAAGTGTAAATATATTTATATAGATATATTGCTTTAGCTCTCTCTCTCGTTTCGGTTTTTCTTGGTTGTTTTTCTCCCTCTTCTCCCTGAGGTTTGGGGGGGGGAGGGACTTCTTGTGGTAAGGTTTGGAGACTTGGCAGGGAGCCAGCTTCAAACCATATCATCTCCCAAATTACATAAGTTACCCATACCATATATTTTCCAAAGTCAGTTTTACTTATTTACTTATAAATCAAGTTACTTTCCTGAGTGCATTCATCATATAAGTGTTAAATATGCTCACTGCAACTTCTAATTTTTAATGTCTGTTACTTAATTTCAATTAAATTGTGTCATTTAGTACCTCTGCTAAAAGGATTTTCACATTCCCAGTATGAATACATCCAGCAATATATTCTGAGTGATGAATATGTACTTAAAGCAGTGAGAATGTGTGAAAGAAATCTAATTTGAAACAAAGAAATTTGACAGAAACAAGAATGTCAAACCTGGCATGATAGAAGGGGGGGCCTTTTCGATACAGCACTGAAATGGAAGAGAAACACCTTAGTCTGATAATCACAGAGTTCCCATCAGAGTTTAATACCAGGGTCAATCAATATTGTCAAATGGTTTCTAAGTTTTAATTACACAAGACAAAACTTCAATGCTTTTGAATCCTGCTCAGAATTAAGTTGTTCCAGCAAGAGTAGAGAGAGGGAAGAGACAAAGAAATGGTGGAGTAGGTAAAAGAGAAATCAGAAGAGCCAAAGGACAGTTTGCTGCTGCTGTGGGAAAAAGTTTGGGATGGAATTTTTCTGCAACAGACTCGTGTTTTTGACATTGTATTTACAACAGAAGCTGAGGCACTGGAGTACAAGTAAAATGACAGTAAGCCATCACATTTCTGTTCCAAACAAGTATTTTCTGCAAGTTTTAGGAGAGGCACAGGTTCTTACATACTGCCCACCAGACCCTCTAAAAGGTCCCTCTTCATACAAGGTACACAAGACTCCTCCCAGCTGGACTGATGTCACTGAGTTAAAGGGTTACATTTCCTGTCTTCCCTTTGCCAGGGGGTTGTAAGAGGGGACTTTCTTTAACTAGCAGAGCTTTTCTTACACAGCTTTCCCTGTCAGGAGGGGATGAGCAGCACTTCATTCATGACAACCATTACTTGAAAATTATCCATTATCACCAACTGTAGTAATACCAACTCTAAGAAGGTGCTGCACAGAAGCTCAGGACTAAGGCAGAACTCCTCCAGACCTTAAACTACTCCACTTCCTTGGCCTGGCACAAATCCAAAGGCAGTGAGTGACCAAACAACAAATTCAGGCCAACACACAAATGAAAGGTGAACCAACTCGTATCAATTTCTCTGTACATCAGGTGATCAACAGCAAACCCCCATCCACAGCCCAGGGTGTAAGAACAGCGAGGATGAATTCAGCCAAAGCCACTCACTATCTCAAGGATGAGCTCAGCACAACCCCCAGAATGTACAACTACATCAGCAGCATTAAAACACCTGCTGGTTTGCAAGCAATCATTAAAAAACACCTCCCTTAATGCACATTCTCCTGAAATGACAGGCTTTACTGTACCGTTTGTGTGCACATGAGCTAAATGTAGTTCTTGAACTACTTAGCAAGGGATTTTGGACAGTACTAATAACTTCTGTAAGATTAAACTCCCAACCATTAACAAAGAAACAAATCCATTCTCCCTCTATCCAAAAAAAAAGCCCCGAGAAAAACCACCCAGAGAAACAGTCCTAGCAGTAAGTTCAGCACAACTCCAGCTTCTATTAACTGGGATGAATGAGATCCATGGACTTTGTGAATTTGGATCTGGATTCAAACCTGTTATTGTAGGGACTGTCATGTTGACACTGCAGAGGGTGTTTTTAGAAGGGGATGGAAGCACTTGGGAAGGGAATTCCAGTGGAATCCTGCAGGAATTATTAACCTCATGAAGGCAAACAACAGGCCTCTCAAGCTGCCTCTTCAGCTACTGACTCTGGGATGGGATTTTCCACTCACATCCCAACTTTACTGCCAACCCACAGTCCAGCCAAAAACATCTGTTGCCAAGGGCAAGAGGCAGAGGCTGCTGCAGTGCCTGAATTCCCCTGTGGCACTGCAGCCCTGCCCTGCCTGAGGAGAAGGGAGGTGCAGATGCTCCAGGTGAGGAGGTACTCACAGAGGTCGGTGCCGTACTTGAGCCCCACCTTGGGCACCCAGCCCCTGCTGCGGAAATAGTGATAGGCCATGTAGGTGGTCTTGAAATCAGGCTTCACCTCGCTGAACACCTCCCACAGCTGCACGATGGTCAGGGGCTCCTGCAGAGCACACACAGGGCACTGGGACTGCACAGACAGACACAGAGCACCGGGACAGCCAGACAGCAACACCACAGCACAACCAGCGCAGGCTGCTGCACACAGCGGGGGCTGCCGGCAAGGAAATACGGAATCCTTAAATACAAGACTTCCAGAAACCTGCTGCTCTATTTGGTGGGTCTCTTAGCATTTCACAATCAGTCCCACAATGCCCTTAACTAAAGGAAAGGCTGATCAATCTCAAACTAGAAGCACAGGTTTCAATTATTTTGCCATGACATTAACAATAGCTTGTTATACTTGGAGATTAATGCTTAAAGCTCCAAAGAATGTTGCCATCTCAGGTATTATTTCTCCCTTATTTGCCCTTCCCATGTTTCCTGCCTAAACTATAACAAAAAACCTTCCTCTACAAAAGGACTCTGCTTAATTATATTTGTCTGGCTAAACTTAAAACTTTCAGACCGGTATTTCATAAACAGAAATACCATTACTTACAAGAAAAACTTCCCAATTACTCTGGTATTTCCTCCTCCAGAATTAACAGCATAAATTACTGCCATATTAACTAAAAATTTCAGACCAAACTGTATCCAGACTAATGGTATCCCCAGTAACCCAAAATTAATCCAATCTCTTACCTCACCATAATAAATACTTAAACATCCCAGAGCATACACCAAGAAAAAAGCCTGAAAAAATAAACAGAGTAAGTTTAACTAATATCTCATTTCTTCCTGTGGCTTATGTTCCATGCAAGAACAAAGGCTCAAATTAATTTTATACAAGAGTCCTCATGTCACGAGACTTGTGATCGTGACCTTTACGTTTCAACAGATGCAGAAAAATCTACAAGCTACAAACCATCTCTGCCTGTGCTGTACGTTCCTGGGGGCCCGGTGTTAAAACTAATATATTTAGAGGCAGCACAACTGAAAAGGATTTATTTAAACGTTACATTCCTGGTATTTTTACACTTAAATCACTGGTCTCTCTGCCAGTGGGATTATTCATCTAAAGTAAATGGGATTGGACCCTAAATATTTTTAACCATATCATGTAATTCTTGCAGGTTATTAAAAAGGAGTTTAATGACTAAGACAATCCAAATCCTTAGGAGACACAGGAGAGCCTTGTACTTTAGAAAGAGGTATTAAATTATGTTGTAACATAGATTAATGTCTACTTTTTCAGATTAAAAGCAAACCAATTTGTACTTGGAACATACCTCTTCCAAGCTGAGCTGTAAATATTCAAAAATCCTAAATGGATTTTTTCTACATACCAGTTTCTCCTTCTTGACAAGCTATAAGAAAAAAAAATACTGTATTATTAAAACTTTTAACTGGAAAAAATACTGAATTCTGAAAACAGCACTGATGCTAGAGATTTTCTAAAAGATTGGGATACTCTTTTTCCTTACATTTCCTTGTAAACAAGCAGAGTCATCTTCAGGACATAAGCTCTCTTCTTCTTCTTCCTCTTGCACCAACACATATTCTGGAGCATTTTCCTTTGCCTCGCCCCCCTGTCCAGCCCTTTGCTCAGGGCTCTGCTTCCCCTCACAGCCACAGAGCACAGGAGCACCACCCTTCTGGCAGGACCCTTCCTCCAGCCCTCTGGAGTCACCTTGTTCCTGTTCCTTAGAGCCACACACAGGGCCCATCCCTGCATCTCCTTCCAGACAGGCTTTCCTGGAGCCCCCATTCTGATCCTCAGCACTCAGGGCTCCTGCACTGCCAGCATCTGCAGAAGGTTGCCTGGAAAGTTCAGTATTTTCTCTATGTGGGCCCATTCTGTTATTAACGGCTTGTTCAGCTCCACCCTCCGTCAGCTCCAGAGGTTTGGTGTAATTTTCAAGGATTTGGGTAACTGAGCAGTCATCAAGGCCTTGCTCTTGCAAAACACTCCTGGCCCACTGAACACGTCGCTGGTACCTGGGAAACAGGAGAAATGGGAACTTGGAGGGCATTGCATCCTTTAATTAACATTTTTAAACAGGGCCCTTAAAAGCAGAGGATTCAGCACAGTTCACAAGCAAATCTGAACACACCCCAACAACTGCTGTGCAAACACAAGTGTGCCCAGTGCAATGAGGCTCCAGATTTTAGGGGTTTGGAGGTGACACCACTGAGCATCAGGATTCTTCCCCTCCTCTGGTTTTGCCTTTTAAATTTGTGTGGCCTAAACACTACTGAGCCCTGCAAGGGCTACACAAGGGACTGTGTAGTTTCAAGAAGCAAGAACTTCACTGGGCAAAAAGTCCCTTCTCCCATGGGAGCCCTAAACCTGAATCCCCCCAAAAATGTCCTGGTAGTAGAACTTGCAGGATTAAAATATGCAACAAGACTTTGCATACAGAGCTCTCACACACTTCATCTATTTTACAGATAACAACTGAGAGCAGTAGCTTCAAAACTCTGTTCTAAGTACCTTTCTGTCCTAGTTAGGACAGCTGAGACCAGTTCATCACTGGATGGGTGTAACCCAAAACTCTGTATTCTATAGCCTCCACGTCATTTCCCAGAAACTGTTATCAACGAACTTTACACCATCTGCACATAGAGCCTGACTCCTCAGGCTATAACTAGGTGCTAAGAGGCCTGTGAGACAGGAGTTGCTCTTGTCCTCACACCCATTAAGGAACCCCCCCCCCCTGCCCTGAGGGAGGTACTGAGCATTCCTGCCTGAACTGGAGGATATATAATCTTGGGGTCTTGGGACCTTTTTAACCACTCGTGGGATCCAGAGGAAGACTGCAGATCACCGCTCTCAAACAGAGTGCAGCTCACCACTCTCGACCAGACTGCAACAGCACTCTCACCAACAGGTTTTCCCCTCTCCTTTTCCTTTGGATTCAGGGGCCCCAAAGAACACCACTCTGTTCATGCCCCATGTTATTTCTCTTGGAAAATAACATTAATATCCAGTTGAAGACATGAATCTTCCCTCTGTGCAGCTGCAGGGACCTCAGAGCAGCTGTCCTTCCTTGAACCTGGACAATACTCTTTACTTTCCTGAACAAAATCCTAAGGCAGCAATTCCAGACCAGGTAATGAAGAACTACAGAGATAATTAAATGCAAATTTCACGTGTCAACACAAACACAAGTCCCTGTGAAGCCTCATAATAAAGCTGTACAATTCAGTGCTGTACTCTTTGTTATATAAACCAGACTCCTCGTGGTCCTATGATTTAATTACCATAGAATTTGCACTTCCAGATCTCTACCGGAACAGATCACGATGCCTTTTGAGCACCAACTATCACACTTGCACTGATGCTGAGGCACTGCTGGCACATAAAGCTGTCACAAGACAGACTAATAAGAATGGCAAGTATTTCTGTGAGCAGTAGTAACTGTACTAGCACTAGCAGTAATATTGATACTGTTTTTCTTATCTAAAATCGAGGACTGAAGGAGCATAATTTTCAAATTTAAGTAAATTTTTTAAAATTATCATAAGATTGAAACAAACAGTAACCCACCTGCACATGCTTAACAGTTCATCTACTATTTAAGCAAAATAAAAATGTGGTTCAACACTCTGTTTTGCTAAGTGGACAAACTAGCAATGTTAATTGATAATTTATATTAAAAAAGTAAAATATTAGTGCATTATAAAAATTCAAGAGCTGCTTCAGTTTACGCTATAGTAATTCCTTAAGGAAGTGGAAGTTGTTTTAAAGAGCCTACCCCAGAAACTTGTTTTTCTCCTCCTCAGCTAAGACACAAGTTTATTATGATTATTACGATTAATCACCCACCCTACTATGCATGTACTCAGTCTTGGCCTCTATTCAGCAATCAATACCTGCAAGATTACATGAAAAACCACACTGAATATCCCCCATTCTATTTCTAGTTCTTCTAATGTGATTTATAAATGAAATAATGAGAAAAGAAATAGAAGCAAATCATCACTTATACAGCCAACAACCTGAAAAACAGAAAGAAAAAATGTAAAACAGAATAATATGTTTCCTAAAAGCACCAAGAATAAATTAAAGCAAATTAACTTACTTTTGAGATGTAATTATAGGCATGTTTGTGTTAACACCTGTACAAAGAAAAACCATACATTGTTTCATCAATATAAAGATGTTTTTGTGTGGTTTTGGTCACTGGGGTGATCTGCAGCCTGACAATTACCCCCATTCTCAGTCTTCAAAGCCATTTTGGTCCCACTTGTATTCAAGGACACAGCAGAACCAGGAAAGGTACAGAGGTAACAGCCTGCACAAGAGAACAACTAAATACACCTTTTTTTCTCCAGCCCATAGAAAGACAATGATGAAGGGATATGATAAAATCCAGTGATGCCCATTGAGACTTAACTGTCACAGGAAAGATGAGCAAAGAATGACAGTATAAACAACCAAGAGCAGACTGGATGCAATTGGCCACAAGCAGATTAAAAACTTCCCATATCCTTCCCTCATGATTTCATGGACACTAAAACCTACAGATTAAACCCAAGAAAAACTGGAGAGTTATCTGAAGAGAAGTCCAAGGATCCCTTTACTTACAGACTTCCCAAGGAACGACCCCAGGAAGGCAAGGAGAGTGCACTGAGGAGCTACGACACATTTCCTGTTCCTGGGTTTTTCCCAGGCATTCCCCAAGCACAAGAGAGGGGGGAGAGAGAGATCCTTGTGAAGAAAAGTGAAGAACTATCAGAGGACATTTACCTTGCCACTTAGCAACCAGCAGAGGGTCTGAAATGCTGAACACCGGCCGACTTCTTGAAAGGATTCCTTTTCCAAAATAGCCCTGCAAAGGAAAGGGAAAATATCCTTATTATTTCTTAACAAACAGATGAATTTATTTCCAAATTACAATATGTGGACTGCCAAGACCACACAACTAAAATTCACAACTAAACACAACTAAAATTCAGCAGCATTTAAGCTTTGCCTAGAGCTTGTTTATCTGCTGGTAACTGGTATTAAACCAGTATTAAATCAGTATTAAACCCCTGCACTGAGAGATTTAACCAGGTATGGTGGTTTAACTGGGAGGGTGTCTGGTCTTCTCCTCAATTCTAAATATTTGTCAGGCAACATCTCCAAACAGACATTTCAAAACGAATGCAGGAGACACCACCTGTGTATTGATGCTGTGACAATGCATGATGGAAACCAAAGAGATACTACTGCACAAGAATGGTGCTGAAATGGTACCCAGGCATAAAAGGAGTAATGTAGCTTATTTTACACAGGAATAAATCACTCTGAAGCTAAAATAATTACAGAAGCATTTATAAAATATTAATATTCCAACCTCCTGGGCTTTAAAAACAAGAAAGCACTTTTAAGAAGTTACATAAAATGTTGAAAGGAGACGTTAACAAACATGAAGGCTTTGCAGCAGTTTTTTAGGTCACAATGTCGATTCATTCAAAATATTTATTTGCTTGGATAAGAAATACTATTCACATTTGATCCAGAATACATGTTTTGTACTGATTTCAGGAAAGAATTGAGATACAGAGAATCACACAAGGCTGAAGGTGCAGGAAAACATAAAGGCAGCAGATTTTAACCGGTACTATGCTTTACCTGCAATTAAACCACTAAAAATACTGTGCAAACAGGGTGCAGCACCTTGTTATAGAGCTGTTCAATATCCTCTGGGTTCTTCACAATCACGTTGTTGTTGATGATTTCAGCCTGGCACATTCTGAAATCCTTCCCACCCACATCCACAGGGAAGGGACCCTCGTAGGACTCAAAAACTCTTCTTTTCCTTCTTGGGGGGTGAAAAACTGCTTCTGCCATTTCCTGATGTTAATATTTCCTCCTAAAAAGTGGAAAGAAAAGCTTTAGTGTTTAGGTTTAGTGTTTTTCCATATTTCAGCAACATTCCCTTGGCAATAACAAATTATCAGTGAATCCTCCACCATAATAAAGTTTAATTCTGAAACTCTTACACCATACAAACACAGGCACTGATCTGCTGGTGTTCTCTGTTCATCTGTGTCCCTAGACCAGGGGGGATGGTTCTCAGCCAACAGTTTATAAAGAGAACTTACAAATAAAAGACTTATAATTTTTTAAAATTTATAAGTATACATCTATATAATTTTAATATATTAATAAATCTATAAATTTGTGCATATATATTCATATATTTATCAATCTGCAGGTTTCTTAAAGGTCATAGAGGAAAGAGTTTACAGTGGAAACTTCAGGACATAAACTGTGAGTTTGTTATGCTGTGAGCGCTTCAGGAATAAAGGAGAGGAATGAGCATAAGAGCAGAAACCACAGCACTCAAGTCTCTGAATAGGGAGTGTCCTGAACAGTCTGAGCCTAGGGAGCGTTTGGACAACGCTCTGAGGGACAGGGTGCGGCTGGCGAGTGCCCGGGCAGGGCCGAGGTTGTTCTGGATGGTACCGGCGGGTCCCCCCATCCCGGACATTCCCTGGCTGAGGGCGGTGCTGTAGAGGGGCCGCGGCCGGGCGGGTTCTCCCCCCTGACCCGGCCCCTGTGCCGAGGGCCGCGGGCGGAGCTGCGGCTCCCGGAGCGCGGGGACCTCGCGGGGCCGCACCGGGACGGGCGGGACCCCCGTCCCCGGTGCGGGTCCTGCCGCGGTGGTCCCGGGGTTGTCTCCAGGGGTCTCTCCCCCCGCCGCCCCCCCCTCTCCCCTCACGCACCGGCCCCGCCGCGCCACGGCCCGCGCGCCGCCAGCCCCGCCCCCCCCGCGCGTGCGCACCGAGCCCCGGCCTCGCGCGCGCTCCCGTCCCGCCGCGGCCGCGCGCCCGCGGTGCCGGTGCTGAGGGGAGGGGGAGCCCCGGGGCACGGCGGGCTCCGGCTGCGGGACCCGGGCTGTGGGACCCCCGGCCTGCGGGACCCCCGGCCTGCGAGCGAGGGGCGCGGAGCTGCTCCAGGCGGGCAGAGGCAGGAGGGGGCTGCCCGGTGCCCCCGCCCTGCAGCGCTGTCGTCCCCACCGGGGCCGCGGTGATGTCCCTGCCGATGTCCCCGCCGGTGGTGCGATGATGTCCCCGCCGGGGCTGCGGTCGTGGTTCCGCCGGGGCTGCCGTGGTGTCCCCAGGGGCAAGTGAACCGGCACTGCAGCTCAAACACCATAAAGTGTGGGAAGGTGACACTGTGTGGAACCCCCGGCCATGGGACACGCGGGGATGCCATTGCACCCTCACGGTGAGCTCGGTGCTGGCCGTGGGACACGGAGATGCCATTGCACCCTCACGGTGAGCTCGGTGCTGGCCGTGGGACACGGAGATGCCATTGCACAGCGGGGGAGGTGAGGCACAGCCGGTGCTCCGCTCGAGCGGATGGTTTGGCTCCGTAACAATGCCTGTCACGGCTGTGGCTCAGGAAGCACCCGGGATAACACAGCTCTGGCTGACCCAGGGAACCAGGGCTGGCTCGGGAGGACCTGCTCGTGCAATCATAAAACCGGGTACCTGAGTACAATGCAAAGTGTTTTCACTGCTCAGTGAGGAGCAGACATCCCTTCTTCTGTTTTGAATCACAGCTTGAGCCTTGCCCATCAAACCCACACAACACCTGCACCTACGTACAACTGCTCTTGTTTTGAGGTGACACTGGGAGGTACCACTGTCACACACAAAGAGGATCAAGCCAGTTTGGCTCCAGGGACACACTCTCAGTAGAGAATTTGGATTCCCAACAGAGAGATCAGCGAACTCACTGGTGAAAAGTTGTAAAGACACATCATTCTTATGAGGTGTTTTATCTCCCACTGCCATTTTACAGGCAGACCAGTGAGTCATGGGGCAGGGAATAATGGTTACAAGGCCACACAGGAAATACAGCACAAACCATGAGAATACAAGCTTGTGTTCTTACGGCTGTTGCCTACAGAGGTTCACTTTCTATACCAGCTCAAGATGTTAATTTATTTTGAATGCTGATTCACATACAAAATGTTGAAGCTAAACCACAGAGGGGCCTGTTGTATTCCTGTCACCAAAGTAGAGAGAAATACTCTGATAACTTCAGACTCGTTCTTAGAGTTGTACCATTAAAATACCCAGTGTTAAAATATTGCAGGTAACAAGATGAAAGCTGGCATCAAAATTGTTACTCACTCAAAATTCCTTCTGAATTTGTCAAATCAAGCCTCATTTCAATGGAAGTGGAGTTTATCTGTGCTGGATATATCTGTATTTTCTCCTTGTGCAGACGTTACTCTGAGATGTGCATGACAGGGAGAAGGAGACAAAACACAGAGATACAGGTCACTGGCTTTCCTTCACATCTCCTTATCTCTGAGCAGCCTTGAGAGGGACCAGCAGCATATGCCAGTCACTCAATTAACTAATCACACCCCTGTTCCTTCAACCCAATATCTGCTCCTGTTTCTGATGATAAGCCCAGACTGTGCTGCAGCCAGAACTTGCTATCTGAAGGACAAGCTCTCTTAGACAAGTCATGCCACATTTCTTTTAGAATATCAATAGTTGTACAGACACTTTCACAAATGTCTGCAGCTCTCTTTTTGTGATGAACTGGTGTTTGGGCAGCACCTAAATGAGAGGCTCTGAACAGCAACCCTCAAGGTCAGAGTGAATCACAGAGAGGCAGAAATATCACACTGCTGCCAGGAGCCAAGGCAAGAGGGACAAGTGATCTGTGAGGAAAGACTGAAATAACTGTCTAGAAATGGTAAAATGGGCAAAAGAGACCATTGCAACGAAGGGGTCATGCATTGTTCTGCATGACTACTGGAATATAGGAGGAGCAAGGGGGTCACACTGCAAAATAATACTGTACCTGTGAGGTGAGGATGACACTGAGGAATCGTGCCCATCACTGGGAATTTTAAGAGCAGGTTAGACAAACATCTTCCAGGACCACTACAAGTAAAGTTAATCCTGCCTCGAGACAGGGGACTGCACTAAAAGCCCTGAAGATCCCTTTCCTGGGAGTTTTCAGGGTTTGTTTTTCCTTCCAGGAGTGTTCCTGCTCTCTGCAGTGCGGCAGAGAATCCATGGCTCTGTGCTGCCCTACAGAGGCTGAACACCTGCAGCTTTTGCCAAGTCATCTTTCAGCTTTCCATCCCTGTTACAGTCTTTCGGTTCAGGAATGTCATTCTGAGAACAGACTATCTGGTGTTGTCTCTGGCTGATTCATTGCTCTAATGAGAGTTTTCAATTGCTTACTATTTCTTGAAACTCAGCTGAATTACTGCATTATTAAGTTAAGGTCCAAACCAATGTCAGCTTTCTGACAAGCCTAATATGACTCTGTAAATCATGATGGTTGGAAGCCTTCAGTTCTAGAAATGCATTGCCTTCAACTCTGACACAGTTGTCTTTGCTGCCTGATTTTCAGTGGTGTTGTCTGGCTGTGTCCCATTGTTTATGTTGCCTCCCCTAGAAGTTCCATGCTATATGGATATAAATATGTTTATTCTATAGCATAGTACCATGTGGGACATAAGTGCATCCACAGGAAACCCTCTGAGCTGGCAATGTCTTCCCAGGAGGAAAATGCTTCTGCTCTGTGTTGTTACGGGATTTCTCAGGCAATGGTGGAGGAGTAGAGCTGAAAACCAGTTACAGTGGCAAGACATGCTCTCCCTGCCAGGCTTATTAAACTCCTCCTGTGACCACACACGTGGTAATTTCCTTTCAAATCTGCATAACATTTACAATTTTGTGCTCTCAGCCTCTCTGTGGTTTGTGTCCTTCCACAGTGACTGTTGCACTGCAGAGTTCATCTGGAATTATTTGTATGAAACACTCCATTTATAAAATAGGAGTTAATTTACTATTACATTAACTAATATTTAACAACTGATATTAACCAATTATCATGCTATGGAGTTTCTACTCCATAAAATTAAGTTTCCATATGCAGGGAATTTTGGTATCCAAGGTGATTGTTTCCAGGATGCTTAGGAGCTTTTACAGGGAGTTGGGAAGTTAATTCTCAGTCCTATCTCAGCCAAAACATACAGGCCAGGTACTCTTTAAATACATATTTTATGTACTTAGGCTTATTAAAAAAACCAGAAATGTCAGCTTGTAAAACTCTTTGCCCATGTAGCACTCTCAAGAAAGTTAGTCATAAAATCATAAAAGAATGATCTATTCTTGTAGTGTCTTTAGGTAATTTTGGAATCCATGCCAAGAAAAAAGGTTTTGCATAGAATCTCATAAAATTCAAGTAATGATTTGTCATTATAATAATTTCTGTCTCTGGTTTCGACAGAATGTGCCTGTGAAGTTTTCTTATCCCGTACTAGTTATAGTCCACAGAAGAAACATGAGGTCACTCTCCTTTTTAAATAAAGCCCTTTTCTTTCTCACAAGGTGATTTGGACAGTAGTGGGAGGATGGACTGTAGTTATTTACATTAGCCAGTTCCAGTTTCCCCAGACTGACAGAAATTCCCATGGAAATTCTGGTTACATTAACTTTGACAGAGATATGGGACTGTTTTTGGAAACTTAAAAAAAAAAAAAAACCAGCTAGGGAATACTTTTCATTTTTATTAATATGCAGTATCTTAATTTTGTTTATTAAAGAAATAAATCAAGGTTAGTTTCTGCTTAGTTTCAGATGGTTTTCACAGGAGACAAAAAACCCAAGAAGTCAGACAAATATTGGCCAAGCATCAACCCAGTAAGGAATCCCATAATAGAAATCCCGAGGTGGACAGCAGTAAAATGAATAGCATGAGAAAAGAGAACATTAAATATGAGTATGTTGTTAGCATACTTACTTCAGACTTGGACAGTGCTTTTGTGTTCTTGGAGATTAAACACACTTGGATGAGGAATTGTTGTAACAAACCCTCTGATCCAGCTGCCATCCCATCCCATCCCATCCCAGCAGGTACAGCCTGAGGGCTCTCAGAGACATCACAGGGCACAGTCACTCCTTGTCCTTTTGGGCAGCTCCCAATTTCTATTACAAACTACATGAATCTGAAAATGATGTGAACATTCATTTTCTCTGCATCAAATCTTTCAGCCTCCCCAAAGTCACTTCTTTCCTCCTCCCCATGGAAACTAATGCAGAAAGTCTGGGCTTGCCATTCCAGGAGCAATTAAGGGCACTTACAGCCCCTGAGTTTTGCCCAGCCCTTGAGCTCCAACATCAGATTTATTTATCTTTTGGTGATGAAACATTTGTTCTTTTGTAGGTCATTAGTTTTTCTGCTTCATCAATCCCCTGGGTGAGTTGGTAAATGATGTACAGCTTCTGTTTTGTCAAATTCTGACTCTCGCCTTCACCTCATGTGGCTGAGCACTGGGCAGGGCAGTGAGAAACAAGGACAAAACTCCAGGTTCAGGCAAGACCATCAGTAAAAGTCCATTTTTAAATTGTATTTCAACTGGAAAGAGAAGTGTCAGAGTGGGGTGTCTCCACTAGGTGTCCACGTTTCAGCAATTTTCAATTAAAGCTTCAGTGACCGCAGCAGCCCTGTGCAGAAAGCAGAAAAATTGCTATGCTCCATTGAGAGATGTAAATACAAGATAGATTTTCATATTAGGGAAGTGTGCACCTGGGCCTCTGTCTAAAAAGGCACCAAATCTAGCACAAAACACTCAAAACCCACTTTTCACTTGCACATCTTAGGCTCTCAAACAGGTCCTCTAAGGCTGGCAGACTTTTTACATATTGATTGTTGTCTCCCTGATTGTTTACAACCTTTCTTTTCCTAATCATTTTTCAAATTATTCTGTGTTTTGTATTAACTTGCAGTTAATATAAATAGTTGGAAAAAGCTTTCCCCCCCCCCTAGTTTCTCTATTCATAGCTCTGTTTTGCATTCAGCTGAGTGCAGAATCCTTAAAACAGTGGCTCACATTTTTAGATCCGCCTGCATAATTGTTAAATAATTGCTTTGCTCATTACATTTCTCTTCAAATATTGATGGCTAATGTTTACCTACTTTGCCTGAGTATCTAATGGGTGTTGGAAGGCACAGTCATGCTCCTGTGCATGTAAGTTTGCGCTCACAATTTTAATAAAACTCTAGGTTTGTTTATTCAAGATGCTCTTCACTGCAAATTTTTGTGATTTCCATACCCATTCATTAATAAGAGGTCAGAGAGCAGCTATTTCATTCAAATACTCGGGAATTCCAAGGAGCTGAAATGAAGGCCTTATTTAAGGTTATTGAATTCTGTTCTAGGCATAACCCAGCAGATTTTTTTTCACTGTTTTTCTTCTGGTTTTCCAGGCATTTTCAGTTTGTTAAATGTAAGGATAGAATAGATTTGAGGGAATGCTATGTGCCAGAACATTTTAAGGCAGGTTCCAGCACCAGATGCAAACTAGGCTCTAGTGATTTATAATTCTCGTAGATGTGAGTGTAAAATCTAAAACTGAATTTGACTCCAACACTTTTACCTCATTTACAATATTAAGAAAACAGAACAGGTTTTTTTTATTACATAACAAAATGAAAATCTGGTGTCACTCCATTTAATTTAGACCCTGCCTGGTCCAGGAATGTGCTTTAACATGGCTGTCTGCCTTTAAGCACAGAAACAATCCTACAGGCTTCATATATTACCTGAACTGTGTCTCAGAGCTCATCCTAAATGCTGTCCAGGTTCAGTGTCATAGCCGACGGAAGGACAAAATAACAAGGAAATCAAGATAAAGGCCTAAATCATCACATTCTGAGAATGGAAATAAACAAAATGAATCAATTTGTTGCCAAAAGTATATATGTTTTTAAGTAAAAAACCCAAACAAAAACCAACCAAACCCAGAACATCCTCTTACGGAATATATCCCAGTCTTGAATATTTGCTTTCCGTTTGTTTAATAACAGGAAAAGGCTTGTAGCTCTTTTATTGAGTTTTACATGTCAGCATCTAAATATTCTGATGGTATTCTTAAAACTTTTACCAGGAAAAAAACAGTGCCATGGCCTATACTAGGAAATGTTCTGTTTATTTTAAATGCATTTATGAGCACACAAAGGCAAACAATTACCTGTCATAAACCAAGGGAGCAACTCATAATGGCTTGGTGTCTCATTCGTACTTCTTTGTGTAGTTCTTTGGCTCATTTGTTCCTGCCCTTCCTGTGTTCTGTTCCTCACCTCTCCCTGTACCTTTTGAACTCAAGTGTAGGTTAAATCCCTTTTTTCATTGCCCCATCACCTGCTGGGCTCTGCTTCTCCTGGTGTCTCAGCCATAAGAAATGTTGGGCTAAAGGTTTATCAAGTCTCTGTTTCTGGACCCACATGACAAGGATGGTCACCAGCATGGAAAAGTGAAGCCTGAAGCCCAAGGGCTGATTTTTAAGTACGTAATCCTCGGACTGGACTCTGAACGAAAGAATGACAAACAGCTTTCAAAGATCATTAAACTTCCTACAGAAGTATTTTAACCTGTCTTGGCCTTGCCTGTTCTATTGTGGCAACTGCAGTAACTGCAGTAAATTTTGGCCTAATCATGTTAAAAAAGAGATAATTCTGTCAGTGTAGGATAGACTAAACTCTGTAAACTAGGCTAGTTGTTCTCTTTGCCTAACTATGGGCTTGTTTAAACAGTGAGTAAGCTACAAACAGCCAGCCACTGGATTCCCTTGGATCAAAACTGTGAGCACAGGAGCACTTCAAATCCAGGTTCCAGATAAAAAAAAAGTAAATAACTCATAAAAGGAAGTGCAAACAGTAGGGAAATCTTGTTTGCATCTGTCAAGCTGTGTAAGGGACAGTCAGACTGGAAAGAATGGTCAGATTATGAGGCGCTGGGTGGGCTTTGAGGACATCTTACGTACTTGAAGGAGTTGGGGAGGATGTGTGATCTCCACCTAGTTGTTCTGCATCTTCACTGTCTGAGCCACACAAAGGATCTCCTGCACAGACACCAAAGTTTCAAAAGTAAACTCTGGGCTCGGAGCCCCAGGCTTTGTTATCACATCTACCTCCTGATTATTGCCAGGAAAAGGAGATTCAGCACAAAGCTGGGATCATTACCACTCCCTTAAAAATGACTGGTCTCACTGCCACAGGGGCGGGGGGGGGGGGGGAAGCGCAGTGCTGCTGAGCTGAGGTTGGTCACCAGTAGTTTATCTGGGAAACACCTCTCATAACTCAGGTGACTGTGACCAGGTATCGCTGGAATGGGCAGGTCAAGCACGGCCATTTCAGATCATGCAAATATGGACATGCTGTGCCAGCTAAAGTTGCCTTTGTAGGATGAAACCAAGTCTATGAAATGGAATTTAAACACTATCTAGTAGTGAGGGCTTTGTAAGCAAGACGTATTTTAGAAATCTGAGTGCAAAAAAGGAGATGAGACAGAAAGACTTTCTACATTATGTTAAGAATTGAAAAATATTAACCCTGATCATGAGTGTGGTCACTGAGAGAAATGTCTGTTATGTTAATTAATATTAATATGTTACTATGAAGATATTAATAAGATCATATTAAAAACATGAGCGAATTAAAGAGGTTGGCACAGGACAGAACTGGTTGGTCAGGACTTTTCTGGGCAGTACGACCAGTCAACAGTGCTTCATCCCTCAGAGGTTGAAAAATCCCCTCTACTCACCTGCAGAAAGAGTGGCGTTTTGTGTTTCACTTCCCCTGGAAATGGATGAACCAATACAGAAGCGGCCATATTGCAGAAGGCTTGGTCTTCACTGCTCGAAATGCAGGATAAATAATGGATAAATGGATAAATAACTGTTGGACCTATTCTGAAGTAAAAAGAGGAGACTCAGCACTTTGTATTTATCCTGGTGAAACTGTGCTATGACCCAAGCCCTCCCCTGGAGCTGACCGTAGTGTGTTTAACTCAAGCTGAAGTGCTTGGTCTTCCCTGAGCTGTTATCTCAGGGTTGCTTCTGCACATCAGCTGCCACAAAATCCTCACCATATGTTTCTGCAAGGTTATTTTCACACATGATAAAATATACAACAAGCTCCAATTCTTTAGCTTCTTCCATAAATCCGGACCAGAGGCGTGTGGCCAAGCAACATGGGTGGCTGTGTTGGAATATGAACACCACCGTGGCTGCACTGCAGCAGGTTATGAAACCTTCTGTGCAATTTATGATGACTGGATTTCGTATCACAAGGGAAGAAGTTGATTAACAGTCAAATGACAACTGGATGTCGGTGTTCAGGTGCGTAAAACAGATACAAACATGCAAATTATACACGTATAATTGAATGTCCCAGAAATACTGCATAGAAACACCCCATTTCTCATATCTTTTCTCTGACAATAGCAGGTAGAAATTACAGACATAATTTAATGATCTAAAATGTATTGGCTTTCAACATTTGTCGTATTTCATATAAGTGATTTTCATCCTGTTGTGTCCTGAAACGCTAGAGAGAAATGAAGGACGTTTGAATTAGCACTTTCAACCTGCCACAGATGGAAAACTCCCTCTATAAATGGATATATTCCATTCATTGTATTGCAGCCACAGAGTCCCACAGGAGAATCACAATTCTGCAAAATGCCTGTAGGGCTCAGCATTATGTATTTGGGTCTTGGATTAGGGGAAACACTTGTAACAGAGAGCATCCTGATGAATACACCTCTGAGAAGGCTCATGTGGATGCCTTTTAAAGTGCTTAAAGTCTGGGGCAACTGACATGTGCTCAATTTGTTCTAGATATAATTGTGTGAGTTTAATGTGCAGACTGCCTGGAACAATGGGATAAAACCTTCTGGTTTGTCACACTATTGTCCACTGGGGTGAACAGAGAACTGCCGTGTGCTGATCCAGAGAACTGAATCCTTTGGGGAATGAGAAGGGAATTCCACCGTGAACAGTCTCCAGGACTGTGTATTTTGGATTTGCATTTTGCTTCTGTTCTTACGATGTGCAGGTTGCTGTCAGGGGGTGGCTGCAGTTTTGGACCCTAGTTCTGCAGTCATATAAAGAGATGTTTGGTACATTTAACAGGCCACGGCCATGTAATGACATCTGAACTTCACTTCTTATATTACTGATGGCAAAAAACATCCTCTTTAGCCTTCAGATATAAATTTCTGTGCTTCCTCCTAAAGAATGTTCCAGTTTAAACCACACATGCTTTTCTTACTCTTTTACCAGATACTGGAGGTCTTTTTTTTGATACTTTTTTCCTGAAAACTGCTTTTTTAGCTTTTTTTTTCACCTTGAGGTGTTTTCCAATTGGTTTTGCTTACCAACACAAGCATTTTAGATATATCTGCCTTTGCAAAAAATGTTTTTCTAGATCTTTTGAACTGTGGTATAAATAGCAATATATTTCTGTCCCAATAATATAATTATTCTCATTCTTAATGTTCTTCATTCAATTAGCTTATAATAGCTACTGTCTTGCCTCAACCTTTCCTAGGGCAGGGACAGTTTTTCAAATGCAGCAGGAAAATAGAATCTTGTTCCTGCTCGAGTCCTTAACACTGTTTTAATGCAAATATTGTGGCCGTGTGTATAATTTTTTTTAGTCACTCAGTGGAAAGTCTTACAGGTCCCGAATTAGCAAAAGTTTTGTAAAGTTCATATTACTAATCTATGGAATTTATACCAAAGGTGTTGAAATCACTTACGCTTTTGCTGACTCACTTCCCCCAGGGATGGCTGGTGACCTCAGAAATGCCCCCACACGAGTTCAGGGCACGTAGTTGCCATCTGCAGCATGAAGAACATACTGAACTCTCAACTCTGGTTCATCCTAAAATTTTTTGCCTAATATATTTTAGTGGTGTGCAAACCCCAGAGTCTATTCCAAAGGCCATTTTCTTTTACAATCTGCTCTGACTCAGATGCTCAGTTAGTGTGGTATTTACAAAATATCTGTACCACCGTGAATTTATCTTGCCAACAGAAGTTAAATGGTTACATATTAAAAAGATTTTATAAGCACGATATGCCACAGTAAACATTAGTAAAAGTTGTTCTAAAACTATTTCTGTCTTTCATTGGGAAACAATTATTCAGGCTTGAAGGGGAAGACTGCTTAGTAAAAGGAAGGAGAAATAAACATTCTGAGGTTTTAAAGGAACTCTGCTTTGCTGATTAAGTGCTTTTTACAGAAATGCAACTAATGTTTCCTTCTTTTATAATTCTTAAATTGGGCCCAAGTGCCAGTAAATTACTTTCTTTGCTGTGCGTGGAGGTTTATTTTTAGTCACAAGGAGAGTATAGACAGCAGGCTGAAAATCAAGCTGACTGCACACTAAATAAACTACCACACACTTGAACTCTTGGTGTCAACTCATTCATCTCACTGTGGCTCATCTCAGTTTTCTGTCAGAAACAACTTTTCAGTAGCCATCTGCCAAGGCTCTGAAACTGCCTTACATCTGAGCCTGTGCTTATCTTCTGAAAGCATCAGTTTTAAAGCTCCAAGATTTTACTGGGGTTGAATTTTGCTGTGAGACTCACAGTGGAGCTGGAATTTGGTGTCCTTGCTGTCAATCTGAGAGCAGAACTGCTTGGCAAGTGGTACTGTTCCCTGTGGAAGTGTGGTGAGTGCTGGGCACAACCACCATGCTACCCTTTCAGAACCAAAATACCAGCCTTGATGTGTGACAGATAAAACTGTTCAAAAGGAGTCTCTCACTAAATGTGTAACATCACCAGATGACGACCTGCTAAGCAGGTGACAAAAGACAGAATCAGATTTTTTCGATTCCTGCTGGGCTGTTTGTGCAGTTTTTCTCTAAATCGGGGGATCGGAGAGATCCAGCTTTTAAATGAATGGTTTTCCTTTCCTCTTGTGTTCACCAATGCTGTTTACCAAACTATGGTTCATGCTGAGCCACTGCTTTTCCCTCCTGTTCCCATGTTGTTGAATCAACACACCAACAGAGAAAGCAGTTCTGGGATGGTCAACCTGAAGTGTTTGCTACACCATTAAGGAACAGAACATTCTCTCTCGTGTCATCTGGCTTTCAGCAGTGTTGAAAGATGGAATCAGTTAATGCTCAAGCTCCCTGAGATCCATACTGGTAAATATGCTGTTTGGTTTCAATTAAGTGCACCTCCCCCCTGAAAATGAAACTGCACGCAGTGCTGCTGCTTCAGGAGAGCTGGATTCTGGTCACAGCAACTGACCAGCTAAAAATCAATTTTTTTTCACCCCTTCTCATACTGTAGAGGTAACACAACTCCAAGCAGTGAACCGCTGATTATAATTCATCTCCTGAAACTACAAACAGAATTGTTTACTAAGTTTCAGTCCATTACAGTGACACAAAACCATTGGAAGTGACAGATGGGTCATCGAGGGTGGCACAGCACGGGTGAATTTGAGGGCCTGATCTGACCTCTAGAGCTTTTTCATTTTGGACACATGGAACCTGTAAGACTCTTATCTTATGTCGCAGAAGCCAAACTAAATTTACCAGGCTCGTTCTTGGCAAAAAAAAAAGGTTTTTGCAATGTCTGTAGTCAGTGTAATTTCTTATACACATAAATATGTCTCTGTTGTCCTCTAACACCCAATAAAGTCAGACCCAGGTGTCAGTCCTTGTTGCTCGCTACAGAAACCATGCAAAGAAAATATCTACGGATTCTGGAAAAATCACAGGATGTGGGAGTGCTGGATGCTGCCTGTCCCAGCAGCAGGGTCAGCCAGTGGCAGCCTGGTGGCACTGAAATGGGTTGAAGAAAAGTCTTGCGACTGCAACCCATGAACACAACTCACTGCAAGACTGGGGCAGGATTGCAGCAACTCCTGCAATGGGTCCAAGCCCCTGGGAGAACAGTGTCTGATTGAAAAATGACTGGTGGTTGGCTTCGAATACTTGGAATAAATAAAACAGCAGCTCCTATTATGCAAGGTCTATATACTTTCCTCACAGACTTTCACAGAAATGCCACATTTCTGACACCTTTCCAGCAGCTGTTTAGAGACACCCTGGTCTAGGCAGGCAGGATGTGAGACTACAAATATGAATTCTGGGTTCCGTTCCCTGTTCTGACATGCATTTGACAAATAACACCTCAGTTACTCGCTACCCCTATTTGCAAAAAGGATTGAAGCCACTTACATACATCTTACTTTGATATTAATAGACAATAGCACTGTTATTTAAGACTTATTATTTTTATAATTCTTTTTAAGAATCCTTTAAAGCAACTCTTTTACAAAAATTCGTTTCAAAATTATTATGTATTCATAGCAATAGCAGTATCTATCTAAATGCAAATCCACTCCTTCATCCTATTAAGTATCTATAATGCATATTTAAAATCTCTATAAACCTCCCTACTCCATACGGAATATTCTGGTCTCATAGTGAGCAGCAGGAATTTGAAAAGTCTTTCTAGTGCACACTTATTTTTTGTATGCAGGTTGCAGCAAATTGGAAAGGCCCAGAAAATGTGGATTAAAGTAAAACTGCTCTTAAGGACAGGATTTAACTGTTCATTCACGTCTTCAACTTGGAACCAGCAGTAATGGCAAAAGTTGAGATTCTGAATGATAGAAAAGCCCATCAGGTATATCTGATTAAATGGGAGTCTTGTATTTGTTCAGGTAACATCAATTTTAGAGGGGCTGAGGACCATAATTTGTTTATGAGAAATCATTCTATCAATTAAAAGGTGACAGGTATTAAAACAACACTAATTCCTTGCTTCTGCCTTCACTTGTTTCTGATTTTACACATTCAAGTGACATTGAATCAGAATAGATGAAATAAACTCATGCTCTGTTAATCAAAGTCTTCTCATGTAAGTCTGTACCTATTTTTATGAACGGCAAATTAAGCATCCCCTAATGTGCCAAAAAACCAGCAAGGAGTTGTTAAACTGTATCAGACCCCAGGTAGGTCTAATTTAGTAGCACTATTCCAGAGTGACCTTTCCATCTGCTTCAAAGGAAGATGGGAAAAATGAATGTCAAATGTTGCACTTCTGCTAAAACTTCTGTCTTTGCTGGAATGGCAACCATGACTGTGGAAAAAAAATGTGAAAAGTCGAGAGCAAGAACTAAACTGCCTGGGTCTGAGCTCATTCTCAAGAGGTTATAGCCAGGTTACACAGTTTCAGAGGGAAAAAACCCTCCCCTTGCTGCCAGCTCTTAAGCCATGGATTTATTAGGACAGTGGCTCCCCTCCTGACAATGTCACACAACCCAAGATGGGTTTTGGAACTGTGGCCTGAGATCCCCAGTGCCAGCCCTGCTGCTCCTCACAGACACGTGATCTGTTCAGAGGGGTGCAAAACAACCCCACATGTCACAGTTGCTGGAAGGCTGAATGTTATTCAGGTTATTTCTACCTCTCATTTCTTAAATAAGAGGTTTAAGGTTAGGAGGATTCTGGAGCTCATCACTGTAATTTAGACTGCTGCACAGAGTATCCGTGTAGATAATCTCACCCCTTTCTTCCACATATCAGAATTTCAAGGCAAACGCATCTGTTTAGTCTCTGCCACATTGCTGCAAAGTTAAATAATGTCAATGTACATAAATAACTTCAATATATGTACTTTGCTACTTGCAATATAATAACAACACCTATTTGCACCACAGGATGCCTAAATTCAGGCTGATAACTGTGATGTGAAAAGCACAGTCCAGAGGTGGGACCCGGATTACATTTCTTGGGGGGGGAGGGGGGGGGGGGCAGTATGTATTCAGAATTAGCAGATTCTAATTAACAGTGAAGAAAGGAGGTAGCAGGCACCAACTTATTTCATGAGGAAAACAGGAATCTGCTGTATCTTACCCTTGTATAGCCAAAACAAAAAGGAGATGCCAAAGCAGGAGCTTCCCCCAGAGATACCCCATTATCCGTGTGTGCCACTGAATACAGAGACCCAGGGCCAGCCAGGTCTGGCCGTGGGGAACGATGTTATAGTGACATCAGCAGCACACAGAACTCTATGGAAGCTGGGGGGGTTTGTATTTAATACTTGTTTGCAGCCAGTTTTAGGAGCACTCCCAGCAGCAGTCAGTTTGTATTGGCAATAAAGCCAACCCTCCAGGAGGAAGGGAAGCGTCACTGCATCAACTGCACTGGAAAATAAAAGCAAGCACAGCAGAATGAATATTTTAAACTGGCCAGGAGTGATGTTAATATCATTAATTCTAGGAGGCGCTTTTCTTCAGACAAGTGGCCGGAAACTTCATTTTGTGAAACTGGTGCTGCAACGTTTACAACCATAACAAGAGGTGATAAAAAGGACTTTCAGCCCACACAGAATAGTTTGCTAGAGTAAAATTCCTGGCTCTCTTTAGGTCTGTAATGACCATTAATATCAAGTATGTCCTTAGCATAAACTTTCTCATGATCCTGAAGTAATTTCCTCCCTTCTGTTAAAATTGAGACAATCACAGAGAACACTGAAAACAAACCCTATCTGAACCATCTCCCAGTCTGCCTTTGTGCAATGGATGGGCTTTAAGGTCCCTTCCTCCCCTCCAACCCAAACCAGCCTGTGACTCAATGATTCCCATGACTTTGAAGACATGGGAAGGCCACCTGGGCAAGTGTACAACAATCCCATTTTGGAGCTGCACCAAATCTCTGCTATTCATGAACCTCATGAGACTTTGCCTGGTGCTGAGATGAGGTGAAACTTTTGCTGTCTTTTTCAAACACAGCCCTATTGCAGCACTGCAAGGTCCTGTTGCATCAACATGAGGTTTCAAAATATAGTAAAACCAACTTGACCCTCAATTATTTATTTATTTGGTGCTGATGTCTCAGAGAGCAGCAGCATTCCCAACAGCAAGTGGATTCCAAGCATCTGTCCTTAGCTTTCCAGTGACCCTAGGGAAGCAACCCATAATCCACATATTTTAATTGCCAGAGGAGTTTGTGGGCTGTGGAGGGGTGGGAATGTGGGCAAGTATATTTCTGGATCTATAATTAATCCTCCTTGTTGTACGAGTGAGATTTATGTGACAGCCTCGCCACTGTGAGGATAAAGGAGTTGTTATACAGAGATGGGGAGGTCTGTAATTTGAAGGAAGAGAAATATAGAGCAATTTCTCTGTGTTTAATAAACCAGGCATATTGGCAAGGCTCTCTTACAGTCCAGTACCATGCTGCTAAGAATGATCCTTTAGTTTTCTACAGCCTGAGGATTGTTCCAAGAGTGTCCCTAGAGTTTTTGGCTCCCGAGATCAGGATTCACCAAGAATTTGGATTAAAGACTGTAGCAGAAGTCAAAACTTGCTAAAGTGAGGCTTCCAGGTCTTCTGACTATGGATGTAGCAGAAGCAGATGATACCCTGCTCACCTCTGCTCCTTCCCAGAACACCCTGCTGCCAGAATTCACTCCCTAAGGAGCACCAAAAGGAAGGAATGAACTGTTCTGCCACAACATCTTTTCTACTTTGGCCAAAGCAGATAAGGTATAACGTGGTTATTATTTCATGCAGTCTCTTTTGAAACTTAGTCGACTTTTAAAACAGTATTGCTTATTTTAAAACTTTTCCTGTGCAAACTCTTCAGCTTCCTCCAGGATAATTCTGCATTAACAAGGCTCTGTATCCCATTGCAGAACAGACACGGACACTGACAGAAATCAGCGTACCAGAAACGTTCTTTTGCCCCAGCTGCTCCTGCACAGGCTGCCCCACGTGCACACCCAGCGTGTGACCCGAGCCCAGGGTTCCCGCCCAGGGATCTCCTGACAGTTGGGTCAGGTTTGCCTCCATCCCTTCCTCTTTCCCCACTCTGCTGCAGGGCTGGGGCCGTGCTGAGTCACCACAGCACATTGTTAGTCAACAGGTTTCACTTACACAAGTGCTTGTAAGAGAATGATTTCTAGGTGCTGTACGTGACACGGGCCAGTTGCAAAAGATAATCCCCTTCTCTGGTTTGTCAGAATGCAGCCATTTCTTTGCCTGTATTGTTTGGAAGAATAAGGTGAGATATTCTGTGTATTTAAACTGCTGGGGAAATTGTAAAGAAAAGAGATTTGTGCTTTGTTCCCTCAGCCAACATCCTGCCATCCCACTGATTGCCTCGGAGCTCAGGTTCTGTTCAAGTTACTAATTTGGATGCGAAGCTCCCCTTAACACAGTTGCATACAAATAGCTATCATTTGCTAAAATGAGAAATGATTCCATTTCTTCTCCTGTGAAAGCTTAAAAATTGCTCTAGAAATTCTCTGGCCAATATATAGTTATCTCTAATCATCATCAGCTCAGCCATGGTGTTCTCTGCACCTTCTAACGTGCAAAACTTCAGGGTCCAAATTCAGCGCTGGTGCAAATGTCTGTAGTTCCCAGGAGAGTCTGGGAAATGCACCACTGGCTGTACTCCTTACGGAAAGCTTTCAGAAACAGTACTGTGTTAAACTACAATAATCCCAGTACTTAACCCTAATGTTAAAAAATAAGCTAAGGCTGGCACTGGTGAACCTTGCTTCACAAAGCAGGTGTTATTTTTGCTTCATACAAGTGGTATGTTACTTGTAAAATGTATTGGACACAAACCAAGAGAACTTCCATGTCAGCAAAGCTATTGACCAGTGCAAATGCAATAAAAGCTGGGCAGAAGCTGCATGGATTGCTCAGCACTTTACAGAAAACAAATTTGGTTTATTCCTGTTCATATGCCAAAGCACCCAGGCAATTCTGGAGCACTGTTGTAGATTGGCTCAGCACAGATCAGGAATGAATGGCTACAAATTCTGAATTAAATGTGCCCTACGAGTGCCTTTCCAGGCTGGTGCCTGCACACAAGTGACTTCTCAAACAGAGATTGACAGTCTTGCTGCTAAATCACACTGTTCTGTAGGTAAATAGACTCAATTCTGCAGAGATTTGATCTATCTCAGTATAAACAGAGGAGAAAATAAATGGGTAAGACAAAACCTGAGTAGGATTCCATAAATCCAGCCATTCTTTTCAAAGCCTTGGAGGAATATGAGAGAAGCAGCAGCTGATACAGGCTGTTGATCCTACTGATTGCATTTCTTAGAATTTCTAATGGGAAAATAAAATAAAAAGTCTTTCTATCAAATATCCCAAACTTCTGGGTGGTTTTGAGGTAGAGACAGGGTACTAAATCTGGAGTATATGTCTGGAATCCCTCTGTCAAAGATGTGGCCGCCAGTCACAAAAGAAAACAAGACAACTCTGCACATATCCTGGGGTGACACATGTGCAGCCATTTCCAGGACTAGGCTGAAAACATTCCCCTGTCATTTTGGAAAACATGCTGGTCAGTGCTGGCTCAGACCATGGACCCAAAGACAAATTCTTTAACATAAAGGACCCTGTGCTCTCCTACCTCAGAGCACCAACTGCAGGAAAGGGTTCTCCCTCAGAGGTGGTGTGGATGGCACAGGAAGTTTAAAATCAATCGTCATTTTGTTGAATTAGGAAAAAGAGCAAATATTTAGTGAAGTAAATGATACTGTTCTCATCCTCATGAACAGAACAGTGACACAGAGCCATAAATTCAATGGTACTCACTTTTCAATATCTGGAAAGGTTTTTCCTATTCAGAGGCAACCATAAAACAAAGTGAGATTTCATGATCAGCCACCAAAAATTCACAGGCCTTCAAGACAAGGAAGCAGGAATAGAAGCCCAGGGAACAGAGCAGCATTTAAGAAGAGTCAAAAACCAAGGCAAGGAGCTGTGGGGTTGGTGAAAATGTAAGTTCCAACACAAATTTGGTCAACATTTTTAAAACCTGTTTGTCTGAATACTGCTGAGATTTCAGAAGGGTGACAATAATTCTTCCTGCTGGGTACCTTAACCCACCTGAGCAGGAGGGATTTCCCTCCCAGCCCCCGGCAGCTGGCACGTGCCCTGCTGGCTGCGAGCTCGGGCTCTGCTGCCCTCCCTCCGGGGCCAGGACAACCCTTCCTCTCCCTGGGAGCAACCAGGCAGCTGCCCCTTCACCTTGGCTGACTAAAGTGTGGGCAAAGGAGGTGCCCAGATCACCTCCCTGGACACAGAGAGCACGGAGGGAACTCTGGGCTGGCAGAGCGTTTGTCCCCCCGTGAGTGGCTCAGACAGAACATGCAGCTGTGAACATGAGTCACAACTGCAACCACCCGAGGATGTTCAGGCAGAACACACAGCATGTGACCTGGGGCCAATTACAGCCAGGAATTCGGATTAAAAATAAAAGAGGAATGAGAACATTTGTCACAGAATGTGACTCCGTCCTCCAAGGAGAGGGAAATTTTCTGACAGGGAATAAAAACAGCATTTATTTTTATTAGAAGTGCTTCTGTTTCACTAGTTTTTTCTGACCCTCAGAGTATTTCTCCCTCATGACTTTGGTTTAGGGAAGCAATCTGTGAAACAACACAGTATATGTTCTTTCTCAGCCTGGGAAGAGGGAACATTGTGCCTGTGAGAAGCTGCCTGCACCTTGCACTTCTGAACAAGTCAAAGAGCACTTGGATTGAGATTCTTTCAGTAGATACGTGTGAGACTGAGATACACCTGCCAAACCGGGTCAGAACAAGAAAAAAAATGACATATTTGTTGTCTGGAAGAGATGTTTGGGGGGTATCCAAGCTGGGTGTTCTAAAGGGATTGTCCATTTGGAGGGAATTGTCCCTCAGGAACCCAGAACTGAAACGCTCCTGTGTGGATACAAGTCCAGGCAGGGCCTTGCTCTGAGTGTTCCCCTCATTCTCCACAGAACTACTGAGGAAGGAAGGTGTGTTGCCCTGGAGGTGACAGAGTGTGACACAGATCACCTGTTGGAAACTGCCATCGGACTGGGTTTGGGGGATTTTTTTTGCTTTGAGTTCTCTGTTTGTTTGCTGTTGTTTTTTATTAATGCCCATGTCTGCATTGCTGATTTCAGA